GACGGATCCAAAGACCAGAACCTGGATCAGGCCGGCATCATCTCAGCCTCTTCAGATAAACTATCTTCATTTATAAATAAACTTTACAGATTTTTATTTTCAAAGAAAAAACTGAGACGTAGAATAAATATTTCTGATCTTTCAAACGGCTCCTCCTTCATGGCTGAAGGTCCAGCAGAGGAACCTGATCTTCTTCCAGGTTGGACACTAATTCATCTCCTCACTCATCCACAGAGAAACATGGAAATGTTCCTGAAACGCAGCTTCCTGGTCTCCATCTGAGGAGCTTCCTGCTTCCGCTGCATCATTAGCTCCGCCCACCAGGAACCATCAGAGAAACAAGCAGCTCCTTCTGCTTCATGAAGATCTAAGAGGACTTCCAGCTGATAGCAGCAGGTCAAAGGTCAGGCTGCATGAAGAGTCTCTCCTCATTCCAGAGGATCATGTGAGGAAGATTCTGGGCTCTATCAATCCACATTCTGACCTTAAACCTCAGTGGAACCACGCAGATGTTACGCAACTGAACTTCAGGTCCGCATCAGACGGAACTGAAGATCCCAGTCGCCCCTCTGAGGCGGCGGCGCTCGGCGTCCGGTCGGGTCGAAGGTCAGGCCTGAGGCAGTGCGGTCCATGCAGGTTCTGCTGGCTGGACTCCCGCTCTGCCTGCTGGCGGTCAGCTGACAGAAACAAAGGCTTGATTCACATGCAGACCTCGTGCTTCTTGCATAACTTCCTCTGAGCCGTCAGGTTTTAAACCGACCCACCATCAGTGAGGCCTTCTGGAGCTCCTTACGCTCCGGATCTGGATAAATGCTGGAAACAAACCTTCAGTTTGCAGAAAGCTCCTAAAGTCTTCATCAATCACCTAACAAGTCCAGCGGCTCTTCAGGAAGCGATAAAACGGATCAATTAGAGAGATTATCAAACATGTCTTCAAGTTTCAGATTTTAAATGATGTCATCTTTGCATCTTTTTTAACCTTTATTGACGTCAGAAGTTCCCACAGCTTCAGCTTCTGGCTCCAGTTTTCCATCTTCCTGTGATTATTGGGTTTTTTAAACCCTGCGATTATTAAACGATTAATCCTGAATAATATGATGATGTCAGTGGAAACTGCAGTGAAACAGGAGGATGAAGGATTAATAGGAGCTGTTTTCAGCGGCTGAAGGTGGATAATCTGGCGGTTTTCATTAGGAGCGTCACCGGATCTGAACCGAGGCCTTCAGAGTCAGTTTCTCCCTAAAACGGGATTATTAGCGGGGCGCTAATCTCTGCAGCATCAAACATCTGCTGTTTGTCCAGAACCAGCAGAAACACGTCATTCTGTCCTCTTATTGGTTTTCCCCAGAGAAATGTTCTGTTCCTGCAAACGCTCGGATAAAGCGGCGGCGGCGGCGGTCAGACTCAGGGGTCAGCTGAGTGAGCGCCAAGCTAACAAAGCTGGGATTCATGTCGGCCGCTGCTCCTCAGTAGAGGTCATTGTTGGACGGCGGTGAGTCATGCAGGACCAGAGCTGCCGCCACCCACCAGTACCGGCTGTTTACTGGGTCAGAAATGGGTTCAGCTGCAGTAAATCTATGAAGCTTTTATCTCTGGATCATTTCAGGAAAGAAAAACTTTTCTTATTACAGATAAACATTATTTTTACCTAAACATTGGTAGGAGGTCATTAACAGACAGACAGACCTAAAGCACATGTTTGCTGATAACACAACAATAATATGGAGAAAATATTCAACAACTTGTAATAATGTTTACTCATTAAATGGGTAAGTTATAGGAATAAATAGTTATTGAATGTAGCAAAAATAAAATGCAGGATTTTTGCTAAGTGTGACTACATATCCTTCTTCCATCCTGCAATAATCGCTTCCTGTTTCCCCACTACATTTCTCCACAAGCAACTTCGAAACAAGCGCCATGCACCAAACGACCACACGGCTTCCAATCTCGCTTCCGACCTTCCGACCATCCAACCTCCGCCCGTAATCCGATTCAGGTGTGTCAAAAATGGGGTGCATTAAAAAGTTGCAGGATAGTAGCTCTTGAGGACTGGACTTGAGCACCCATGATCTACGCAGACGCCTCATTGGACGGCGGCCGACGTGCCTAGAGGGCGGCCATCTTGGATCAGACCACAGCTGCTGTCAGAATGAACAGGAAGCTCCTTAGATCTCATTTTAATAACAAGGAAGAGATAATATTACCATAATCTCTGACATGTCACAACCTTTTAAAAGAGCAAAAAAAATAAAAAGTTAGATTACAGATTAGAAACTACACTATATTGCCAAAAGTATTTGCTCACCTGCCTTGACTCACATATGAGCTTAAGTGACATCCCGTTCCTAATCCATAGGGTTCAATATGACGTCGGTCCACCCTTTGCAGCTAGAACAGCTTCAACTCTTCTGGGAAGGCTGTCCACAAGGTTTAGGAGTGTGTTTATGGGAATTTTTGACCATTCTTCCAGAAGCGCATTTGTGAGGTCGCACACTGATGTTGGACGAGAAGGCCTGGCTCTCAGTCTCCGCTCTAATTCATCCCAAAGGTGTTCTATCGGGTTGAGGTCAGGACTCTGTGCAGGCCAGTCAAGTTCATCCACACCAGACTCTGTCATCCATGTCTTTATGGACCTTGCTTTGTGCACTGGTGCACAGTCATGTTGGAAGAGGAAGGGGCCAGCTCCAAACTGTTCCCACAAAGTTGGGAGCATGGAATTGTCCAAAATGTCTTGGTATGCTGAAGCATTCAGAGTTCCTTTCACTGGAACTAAGGGGCCAAGCCCAGCTCCTGAAAAACAACCTCACACCATAATCCCCCCTCCACCAAACTTTACACTTGGCACAATGCAGTCAGACAAGTACCGTTCTCCTGGCAACCGCCAAACCCAGACCCGTCCATCAGATTGCCAGATGGAGAAGCGCGATTCGTCACTCCAGAGAACGCGTCTCCACTGCTCTAGAGTCCAGTGGCGGCGTGCTTTACACCACCGCATCCGACGCTTTGCATTGCACTTGGTGATGTATGGCTTGGATGCAGCTGCTCGACCATGGAAACCCATTCCATGAAGCTCTCTGCGCACTGTTCTTGAGCTAATCTGAAGGCCACATGAAGTTTGGAGGTCTGTAGTGATTGACTCTGCAGAAAGTTGGCGACCTCTTCGCACTATGCGCGTCAGCATCCGCTGACCCCGCTCCGTCAGTTTACGTGGCCTACCACTTCGTGGCTGAGTTGCTGTCGTTCCCAAACACTTCCATTTTCTTATAATACAGCTGACAGTTGACTGTGGAATATTTAGGAGCGAGGAAATTTCACGACTGGATTTGTTGCACAGGTGGCATCCTATCACAGTTCCACGCTGGAATTCACTGAGCTCCTGAGAGCGACCCATTCTTTGAATTTATACACCTGTGGCCATGGAAGTGATTGGAACACCTGATTCCAATAATTTGGATGGGTGAGCAAATACTTTTGGCAATATAGTGTATTTAAACTGACCTCAATCTGGATGAAATACATGCAAAGTTATATATTTTGCAATTAAATATTAATATGATAAACACAAAGTTTTATATTAATATATTATGAGAACATGTTTAACAGATAAATATTTATATAGTATATTATAAATAAAATATTCAGCATTTTAAGAATAGCTCTTTGATAAAGAGTATAATGATCAATAGAGGATATTTAGTTGTAAATCGATTTACAAAATAAATTTAAAGTTATTATTTTGTTCTTTTTTTATTAAATTTATGTTCATTTTTATTTATTTTTGTTGTTTCTAACTAACTATGTATATATGTGTATAAACATACATGAACTGATGTTCAAATAAACGTTATTAATGATTTAAAAAACTGTTTGAAGAAGTTTAGACAAATGGAAATGATTTAGTTGGACTTTAATTGTGTCCAACTAAATCATTTAGTTTGACAAAACATAAATTTACCATTTAGTACGATTTGACCAAAAAAGGTCTTGACAATAACAAAAAATACATAAAAATGAACATAAAATTTACATAAAAACCAAATAATTTATGTACTGTCTTTACTCTCTTTTATAAATCACATTACAACTAAGTTTCCTCTATAGCTCATAATACTCATTATCAAAGAAAAATCCTGAAAAATCCTGTATATAATAATAATAACATACTATATAAATGTTTAAAAGATTTTTAAACATGATGTTATAATATATTAATATAAAGCTTTGTGTTTATCATATTAATATTTAATTTAATTCAGTTTAAATAGTTTTTAATGTGAATAAATATGTGTAATCTAACTTAAAGGTAATTTTAGAATTTGTTTTTGGTATTTTAAGGTGTTCTGACATGTCAGATTATGGTAATATTATCTCTTTCATATGATTAAAATGAGATCTAAGGAGCTGAACTGTGGTCTGATCCAAGATGGCCGCCCTCTAGGCACGTCGGCCTCGCTGCCCTCAGCGTTTACGTATGTAGCGTCCATGTGGAGAACGACCAGCTGTTGCGTAACTTTCGTTGTAGTTTTATATTTCCGTTGCGGGTTTTGTAATTGTGTTGACACCTCTGGGCCACCGTAGCAACTACATTTGAACAAGATCCTCATTTAATGATTTTTAGCTGACGCTTGTTTTACGTCAATTGTTTATATGTTTTGAAATGTGTAAATAAAGTCTTGTTAAAAGTAAAAATGTAAAGAAGAGGAAAAAGAAGTAGACCAGCAGGTAGCAGCACTCCGCAGTAATTGATATGAATATGCATCTAAAAGAGAGGATGAGTAATAATGGGGGAAAGCGAGAGAATAATGGAGCATTAAAGGAATTTTAGGGACAGATGGAGATGGGGAGGAAATTAGGGTAATTAAAAAAAGCCTTTTTTTTAACATAACAAATAATAAATAAAAAATAGAGAATAAAGAATAGAAAACCTTAGGGCTACTCTTGTACAGTAGGTGGCGGTATGCATTTATAGGTTGTTTGCAATCTGCCGAAGAAGAAGTAGAAGAAGCAGCACTCCGCGGTTTATTTCAGCAGAAGAAGAAGTGTGCTTGGCGGATAGAGCATAGCAGCCATGGCGATGATGACTACAATCCGCCTCCATCCTCCTGCCGGTGGCGTCACCTGAAGGTTTCTGTCCTCCTGAGATGTTTGCAGAAAGGTAAGCTTTGATCTGAGCTCGATTTTATTTCCATGAGTTTGATTTAAACTTAAAGTTTGTGAAGCAGAAGCTGCAGCGTGGTGCTTCTCACCTCCAGGAGCAATGGAGCTTCTCTCAGCAGCTTCTTTATTAAACATCATTTAATAAATGATGCAGCCATTTCCAGCGAGGCTGATCCTGCAGTGGTTCTGTCCTTTCCTAATCGGTCTGCTAGAGAGAAGAGGGGCCGTTTGAGGCCCTGCGGCGGCTGCTGGCTGCAGGGTTATAGGTAAACCTCCGACACAAAGACTCAGTTCTCCTTCAGAATGTTCATTTTCTTCAGAATGTTCATTTTCATCAGAATGTTCATTTTCATCAAAATGTTTATTTTGATGACGTGTCAGTGGATCAGAACCATACAGGAGGAATAAATCCCCCACCTGGGTTAAAGCGGCTCTGAACCATTCAGCTCCATTGGTGCATGCATAGCTGCCGATGACCACTGGGGGGCAGCATGTTGCCCCTTTAAGGTTTTAGGTTTTTTTTTGTTTTATTCTGTGGGGCAGAACCTTGCAGAAAATGTTCTGCAGAAATTAATTTTTACATGAACTAATATCTGGATTTTTAGTAATAGGTAGTTTTTTTTTATCTCTGATTTTACCAAAGAATCCCAGATGAATGTAGAGACACAGAATTTTCTCCTTGCCCCCCAAAAAAAATCAAAATCTAGTTCTGAATTCTGTATTTATCATCTTTAATGTTAATATATTGATGTGCATAATTAGTGTTTTAGTTGTCAAGTAATTATTAATATATGAAAATTAAAGTGTTTAAGTTTGAATATTCCTCTTGAGAGTATTACTGCTGCCACCGTCTGTATTAGAGGGGGAAAATGGTAGGGGTGGCTAATGATTGGCTCAGGGTGGCCATGGCCCCCATAGATATCCATAATAAAGGCTAGATGTCTTACGGCGGAGTCTCAAACGTCATAACCGGCGGCCATCTTGCCTCAGGCAGGCTTTCTGTTGTGCTCTGTGGTACCTAATGTAAGGTGAGTGATCAGCACGAACACAAATACTCTTATCTCACTGAATTCTTGACGGATTTACAAACAGTTTGGTTTCTTACAAACATTATGAACGTGGCTATAATTCTAGATGCTTGAACATGACGAAATTGCAGATTTTCTTGTCGAAAAATGACTTAATCATGCAGCATAGTTGTGCATCACGGCTACTTGCGCAAGTTATCAAGGCTGAGACCATTAGTCAATTATATAGGTTTTACTGACACCAATAACGATTGTATGACAATTAATCTTTGGTGTAAATTACAATATTTGTGGATGTGGTTGTAGTTATTAGTTGGCTAATAACAATAATCTGAGTGTTGTTGTATTTTCATTATTAGCCTAACGTTAGCTGGCTAATAACAAGAAGCTGCAAAGTGAGACCTAACCTTAGTAAGTTAGCAGCTAACGCCCCTGCAAACAGGAGGAATAAATCTCCTTCCTGGGTTAAAGCGGCTCCCAACCAATCAGCTGCATTGATGCAGTGCTGCTGATGACCACTGGGGGGCAGCCTGTTGCCCCTGTAAGGTTTTGTTTTTTTTAAATTAAACTAATTTTCCTGGTAAACTCCTCCTGCCAGGATTAAAAGTTGGAGTTTGTCATATTGAGATAAAATACTAAAGCTTCCAGATAGTTTTTAAAACTGATTTTTATATCAAGTTGGATTAAAAATAATCTGAATTCTGGGAAACGATGAGATGAAACTCCTGTTTGTCTTCCAGCCTGTTCCGCTAACGATGGACCGACAGGGAGTCAGCGGCTGTCTGAGGAGGAGCCTTGGAAACGGTAAAGGTTCCCATGATGCCTTTGTTCTGTCAGAGGAGCGCCGTCAGACCAGCATACCCACAGTCAGACCAGCATACCCACAGTCAGACCAGCATACCCACAGCCAATACCCCTTTATTCCTTTAGTTCCAGATATTGACTTTAAACTACTTCAGCGGGCCTGTATCCCTTCAGTCCTGTATTTAAAAACATAAAAAGATTTCATTTTTGGTGGTTTTTTTTAATGTATGGCGATCTGACCTTGTTTTATTTTTTGTACATGACTAAAGGGATACACGCCCATTCAGGTAGTTTAAAGTCTGTTTTTTATTGAAAATTAAAGGAATAAATGTAAATCTGACATCTTGCGTGCTGACTGTGGGCATGCTGGTCTGACTGTGGGCATGCTGGTCTGACTGTGGGCGTGCTGGTCTGACTGTGGGCGTGCTGGTCTGACTGTGGGCGTGCTGGTCTGACTGTGGGCGTGCTGGTCTGACTGTGGGCGTGCTGGTCTGACTGTGGGCGTGCTGGTCTGACTGTGGGCGTGCTGGTCTGACTGTGGGCGTGCTGGTCTGACTGTGGGCGTGCTGGTCTGACTGTGGGCGTGCTGGTCTGACTGTGGGCGTGCTGGTCTGACTGTGGGCGTGCTGGTCTGACTGTGGGCGTGCTGGTCTGACTGTGGGCGTGCTGGTCTGACTGTGGGCGTGCTGGTCTGACTGAACACCGTCAGCGCAGCCGTTTCCAGCGAGGCTGATCCTGCAGTGGTTCTGTCCTTTCCTAATCGGTCTGCTAGAGAGAAGAGGGGCCGTTTGAGGCCCTGCGGCGGCTGCTGGCTGCAGGGTTATAGGTAAACCTCCGACAGACGTTCAGCTGAAACAGCTGCAGACGTCCACCTCTCTGCAGAGGTTAAACGGCTCTGATGCTTTCAGGAGCAGTAAAGTAACGCTGCTGAAACGGCGTGATGATTCTTCCACATGTGGTTTATAGAATATTACCAGATGAATTACTGCTGGATTAATTAAAACCGGCTGCTGGTTTCTTGCAGCTCTCCAGCTGCGTGAGGATGGAGAGTCGGCAGCTGGAGGAACGTCATGAACGCAGTGAGGATTTCCAGCCTGTCATGTTTCTTCCCTAATCGCTCCGCTGGAGAGAAGCGGCGCCGTTTGAGGCCCTCCTGGTTCAGAGCTCTGCAGGACGCCGACTTCAGGCAGAGGTGGTGATGATGCTGAGGTGTGTAAAGTTTTCCTCACATCTCCATCTGTTTCCAGGGACTTTTATTAACCTTTTTTTTTTTCTATCTCTACAGATTTTCCTCCCACATCAATGTTTACATTTCTGAAAATCCTGTTTCTGTTCCACAATAAATTATTAAACACCCAGCATTTGTCTGAGCTTCATTGTTTGCCTTTCTACCTGCATGTAATGCTGCAGGGATCCACTGGGGGGCAGCGTTGTACCTGAATTAGTTGATGAGTCGCTGCTGTTAAAGTCGCTGAGGCTCCTGTCACACCTCAGTGATTTATCCAGCGTCGTTTCTATTCTGGGCGTTTATTCATAACGAGTCCAGAACTTCTGTCCAACGACAGCCGAACTTCTGCAGAACGCACGGCTAAATCATCAAGGTGTGACAGAAGTTTTAACTGGATATTTAGCTCCAGCGTTGCTAACCTGTGAACAGAAGCGACTTCATTTAGGATAGACTGTTTTCCACACAGGCTCGGTTTGTTTTACTGATTTATTGGAAGCTTTAGTTTCATCATAAATAAAAATAAAATCCCCGCAGCCGATTAAAAGCCTGAGGAAGAGATTACAGAAATACTGACGAGGTCCAGATCAGCTGATTGGATAAACAGGAGACCATGTGACTGACGGAGCTTCCTGCTGCCTCAGTGGGGGGGGGTCTGAGCGTTTCTCTCTCTGACCAAAACACATCAGGTCAGTTAATTGGTTACAAAGAGGTCATCTACTCAGTAAATAGGCCACACCCCTTTTAATGGAGACAGGAAGCTGCTCCATCATCACCGCTGGACGGCGACGTGGAGATCCGGACCCAGAAGCTGTAAAAAGGTTCCTGTTGGGGGGCCATGATCTACGAGGTGCTCTCAGGGAAGGAGACTCTTTGGCGTGATGTCCGGCTCCTGGCGGCCTGGGCGCTGGAGGCGGGGCGTTCGCTCTTGGGTTCGGACGGTTGAGTTTCGGCCTGCGGCGTGCCGGCATCCCCGACGAGCTCCCGCAGGAACTTGAACTTGGACAAGAAGAGCTGCCAGACGACGTACCAACCTGAGGAAGAGGAGGAGGAGGAAGGTCTGGTTACTGAGAATAACCTCACAGCAGCAGAACGGACCAATCAGCTTCACCGCTGACCTCAGGCTGGGCGATACGAAGAAAACCCAACATCACAATATATCTGGGCTGTAATCGCGATACGATATATATCACCATATGTTAGATTACCTTTAAAACCAATAGAGAGAATTAAACTCCACCGATTAACTCATTCAAATTTAAAATGTTTTATTTTAACCAGATCAAAGCTTTTCTGTCTTTGGGTGTCAGAATTAGACCTTTAATAAGATCCCAGCAACCAAACAGGAAACTAAACTTTATGGTTAATGAGCAGCGAGTGAAGTTTCCAGGATTATAACGAAGTACGCCTCTGATTGGTCGGTGTTTAGTTTATAAAACTGGAAGCAAAGACGCAGAGTTTGATTTTTACTGCAGCTCTAAAGCTGCGGAGCTAGAAACATGAACCTTCATCATTCTGGCATCTTCCAACAAAAACATCCTCATCCTCAGCAGCAGGCCGAGGAAACGACATCTGAGAGATTTATTTTGAAAATCTCAGGAAGCCGTCCTTCCTGTGAAACACTTTGAACCTGGAACACCAAGTCTTCTCATTTTAGTGGCTCTGTTCGAAAACCTAGGACGCATCCTTAGAAGACCAGATTCGAAGGCCGATTACGTCATAGCGCGGCGCCGAGGTCTGGTCGGATTCCAAGAGTCCTCGTTATGCGGCCTTAAAATGCGTCCTTCTTTTTGCCCGATTTGAAGGACGGGTCTGATGTATCCTCAGTATCCTTGGTTTACCCAGGATTCATTGCGAGACCAAGGATCGAAGGATCCAGTCTAGGTAGACCGCGTCCTTGGAGGACCCGTCCTAGGTTTTCGAACAGAGCCAGTGTTTCTTTAATCTGAGATTAAACCCTCTGCAGGCAGCCATGATGGAACCGGTTGCTATGGTGATTTCATCTTTAAGAAAAGTGAAAACTGGAACCTGACTGCTTAACTTTCCAAACAGCGCCCCCTACATCTCTACTCTAGTTCCTCTCTATAATCTCCAGCTTTCTATGTTCTAGTATTAGAAGTAGTGATGTCATGAGATGAGCCGAGGCTTCCAGGCACGTGGCGAGGCCTGATTCATTTAGAGGAGGGGCCAAAATTAATGACGTCCGAGGCCTCGCTACCGCGATACCATGTGACCGCTCCGGGAAGTGGTTCAGAAAAGAGGCGTTTAAACAGCCTCAGTGTTCAGGCCAGATGTGGGAGTCTGGAGGAGAGCAAACAGTGAAGCTTAAATGATTTTACTATTCTAAGACATTTTACACTTAAAAAGATATTATTATACAGACCAAACATTAACAATTTCAAAGGAACATAACATCTTAAAACCCAGCGGGTCGCCGGCGAACTGCTGGGTTTTAAGTGGGGGTAATAACTCAGAATGCATAAAGTTCCACCGGTAAATCTTTACCAGCAGGTGGAGCCATTGGACGCTACGTTCAAAGTCCAACATCTGGAACTGTTATAGCTAGAGGTCTGAAATTTTCTGCATTTGCGGATAACGCACTGTAAAACAAATATAATACAATGAGACCTGCTTTTTCTCAAGAATGTCTTTATTACTGCTGGTCAAAAAAGATCCATCATTTCCGAGAATAAAAAAAACTACTTTGAGTCATTTTTGAACTGATGCAGGTTGGTCTCATCCAATTTGAATTTATATATTCAGAAACTAGAGGGTCTTAGCTTTCAAATAATGTAATTTGGGCTGACAATTCCTAAGTTATTTGCTCTCCATTTGGGTTTGCAGAATAGGCAAGCATTACCCAAAATGAGGTGGAGGTTAAAATCCCAGATTCCATTCCTAACTGTAGTTCTGCACTCCACCAGTAGGTGTAGACATGTTCGCATGAAGCTTCATGAACTGTGGGGATAATTTGACCCAAACGGTTCAATGAGGCTTCATGTCACTGATTAGAAGCTGCTGCAGGTTCCGCTCTGACCTCCTGCTGCTTCTTTTTAAACTTGATCAGAGAAGTTTCAGAATAAAAGCTGTTTTATTGGGTTCGGTCTTTCTAAACCTACCGAACAGCATGAAGAGCAGCACGCAGAGCAGCGTCGCCATGATGACCAGCAGGGTGAGGCCGAGGTTCTGCCACATGTCTGCGGGGATCGCTCACTCTGCTAACCCCGAACAGGAGCTCCAGCAGCGGCTCATCTCACGCGGCCCACCGGGCCTGGGGGTTCGCCTGCCGGCCGGCGGTCTCAGACGGTCCGAACCCGGGACAGCAGGACCATGAGCGGCTTAAACCGGTTCTAGCTGGTTCCAGGAAGCTCCTCCGCTGGTTCTGATTCCTGAACTTTATGGAGCAGCAGAACCTGGACCCGGTTAAACAACAACAGCAGCCCGGATGGACTGCGGCTGCGCGGCTTCCCGCGGACTTCTGGGTGCTGTAGTTCTATAGTTAGCATCACCACCATTAGCTAGCTGCTGCTGCTTCTTCTTCTTGTGTTTTATGGCGGTTGGATAACTAGTTAAAGGCGCATTAGCGCCACCAACTGATAAGGAGTAAAAAGAGGAAACGAGACTCACCCCAGAAAACTATTTGTTTTATCCCAACATAATGAAATAAATGATCAAATAATAATAATTATCATAATTACTATTCTGTCTTTATGCTGACGTCACTCTGCCAGTCTCTGATGGTTCTACTCGTTTTCCCATCAGACTTTCTATCATTTCCCAGTTTAAATCTTTAACTTTTCATATTTTTCTGCAGCTTTCACTGTTTTTTTATTTATTTATTTATTTTCAGTTTTGGTTGTGATCTGAGCTACAGCTGATCACTGCTACCATGAGAAGGATCAAATCCTGCATGGCGTCTCCTGCGTCGCTCCTCCAGAGGTTCAACTTTCCGTTTCCTCCACTGTTGGTTTGGGTTTTTCTGACTGGGATTAGATTATTTTGCAGCTTCAGCAGAACTTATTCTGAGCTCTAATTTCACTTCAGATCTTTTGCTGACGTCACATCCTGGATAAGCAGCAGAATGTTCTCTGAGGACTTCTATTAGTTTATTTATGGATTTTGTTAAATGAACCGGATTCCAGTCTGTGAAAGAGTCTCCGTGATTAACTAATGTGAAAATGACTTTATAATCATTTAGTTTTCCTGTAGAATATCTAGATTGTTCATATCTGGATTGTTCTGAACTAGACTCCCCTTCAACTGATCTCTGCTTTTTCCACTTTTCTAATTTTTTGACGCGACTCTTTTCCAATCTTCTTCATTTTCACTATTTCCTTCTTCCGTCCCATAAGAACGGCTTCCTGTTTCCTCGCTGCTCGCAGCTCAGGACATTTCTCCATCAGTGAATTAGAAACACAGACGTTACGTTCTTATTTCATTTTATAACATTTTATTCTAAGTTAAAGACAGTTTCACTTCCACACAGAACATGGAGGATTTTATTCAGCTGTTGGGTTTTAACATCATTTTATGTTCTGTGTCAGATGATGGAGAATTATAATATAATAAGTTCCTCATTTAATGATTTTTAGCTGAAACTTGTTTTATGTTTTGAATGATGTTAATAAAATGTGTTGTTAAAAGTAAAAATAAGAGTCATCTTCTTCTTCCTTTGTTAAGTTTGATGGCGGTTGGTGCATTACCGCCACCTACTGGTATGGATTGTGGAACAAGAACAGGGGCAGAGCTAGATGGGGGGCCAGCGGGGGCCATGGCCACCCTTAGCCAATCATCGGCCACCCCACCATTTTGAACAGCAATACTCTCTAGTGGAATATTCAAAACATTTTAATTTTTCATATATTAACATTTACTGGACAACAAGAACACTGTGGTTAATTATGCAAATCAATATACTAACATTAAAGATAGTAAATACAGAATTCATGATCTTTTCAGAACTACATTTAGTGTTCTATGAGGTAAAGAGAAAATAATTTCTCTCCTGCAAGTCATATGGGAGTATTCATTGAAATAATAACTATTTTAATGAAAAGGTCTTAAATAATCAATCTATGTAGATATTAGTACTTGTAAATCAAATTTTTTTTGCTCATTGTGCTCATTAATTTTCCTGTTGGAATGGAGATTGACCCAGAGGTTCTGGTGCCTCTCCACTTTCGGCCCCCCTTAACATTTCCTGGCTACGCCTCTGGACAGGAAGACAGTATTCTAACCAGTAAATTATCTACTTTACTTTATATCGTAATGTAATAACCCAATATCATTTATCCTTATCTAATATAATTAATATTTATTATTAAGAACTTTGCTGCTCAGTGGAGCAGTGGGTAGAACTGCTGCCTTGCAGCAAGAAGGTTTCGGGTTCGATTGCCAAGGTCTTTCTGCATGGAGTGTGCATGTTCTCCCTGAGCATGCGTGGGTTCTCTCTGGGTACTCCGACTTCCTCCCACAGTCCAAAAACAGGACTGCTAGGTTTAATCAGACCTGTCCAGGGTGGACCCCCCCCTCTCGCCCATTGACACCCAGGGGTGCCACCAGGAATTTAGGGCCCCAGGAAAGACATCGATATTGGGGCCCCCGCCAAAAAAAAATGTAGGCAAGCTTTAAAATGAAAGAAACGGAGCCGCTGGTGGATGATCTGTTTACATGATGAAGGAGAGCTACCTAAATATCTGCTAAACATCTCCTAGCGATTAGCTGATGCTAACCCTCTGATGGTGTTTTCTTGCTGCCTGCTCTGGTTGATAAATGGACGCTCTCATCCCTCTGAGCTTTCTGGCTTAGTTGTTTGGCCTCTGGATTATTTACAGACACACCATAGGCTCAATAAATGCTGCATTCTTCATCCGTTTCTATTTGCATGTTTTCTAAACTAAAACCAGGCTTTGTTGGGCTGCTGGATAAAACCTGGAACTAAACGCTATTTCTGACATTTTGAATTAAAAAATCTTCCTGGATGGAAGAGAAACGTCTTCAAACTTGGAAACAAAGTCAAGCGGATTGATTTTGACTTTTTTGGAAAGTCAAGTCAAGTTGTAAATTCCTCATCACAGAATTCATATAATCAGAAGATAATATTTTCCACATCCACGGAGAGCTCGTCCAGAGGTTTTTCCAGTGTTAATACTGTACTGATGACCTTAGTGCTGCAGCACTGAATGCAGAAACATGATATGCTTGAGAAAGACCCGACCAACTCGTTCTGCCGTGTGAAAAATTTAGCAGCCCTTGTTTGAGGCATCGGTGAGAGGAGAGAATGTGAACGGATTGGTTCCACTTATCATTCTAGGACCACTCCTTCTACTGTGGGTTGACAGCAGACGTTACCGACCCCAGGACATCTTCTCTGCAAGGAAGGAGTCCCTCAGTATTTGGAGAGTCAGCTTAATGCGCCATCAGCATTATGGATTCTTCCATAATAAAAAACACTCTATACATCCTGTTGTATCTATTCTTATCCATTGTATACGTTAATTTTCAATCCTTCTTGTTTAGCTGGCTCTGGCGTTTCCCGATGGACGACGTCCTCCTTGTTTTGTTGTCTTTTGCTTTTCTAATGTGTCCAATAGTGGAAGCAGGCTGTTCCAACTGAATAAATGGACGCGATGTTAAGGCAACCAAGAAACTGTAAAAGTTATGCTTCTGTTAAATAATTAAAGAGACAAAGTATAGAAAAATGCATTTAATGATAAAAGTAACTCAGTTACTATGTTACTCTAAGGGTAATGAACGTCCCAACATAAAAGTGAATCAGAGAAAATGAGCATCATTATTAAAAAAAAACAGAAAAGGTAAGATTGGGGAAGAAAAATGAGACAGAGTTATCTGATCAAAGAGACATGAAGGATGGAGGAAGGAGCCTCAGGTGAAGAAAGACAAAGATTTGGAGATAAAGAACTTTATTCTACGCCTTGTAAAAAATAAAAAGCCAAGTTGTGCTTTAGTTTTCTTTTTTATTGTTACTTGTTGTGGGAAGAAAAGTAGTTCAACCCAGTTAAATAAACAGAGATCGATGGATTTATCTTTGCAAAGAGAGAACAGTTCATCATACGGCCGTTATTGCACGGTAATCAGCCCTGTTCTGATCTCAGCAGCGTTCGTTCTGACCTTACTTACAATAATGGAAAACAGTCAGAGTCAAAACAAATTACAGACACTTTGGTTAAACAGCAACATGTTATGAATAAATCTATATAATATTATATAAATCTATAATAAAGAATCTGCTTTTTTATGGGAAGAAGGCGTCAAGGTTTGGTTGTGGTTTTTTGACCCAAATGCAGAGGCAGGAAGGCAGAAGTGATTTTCTTGTGGGTTTAATGAAAGGTTTACTGAACACAGAGGAAGGAAATCCAAAAATCCGAACATAAAAACAAAGTTCAAACAAACCAGAAACCATGGAGACATCAGGGGGGAAACTTTTACGAGGAGAAAGGCTCAGAGAGACGGAGTTGGAAGTTAGATGAGGAACCAGCAATGAAGAACTGAACAGGGAGACTGAAACAAAGAGAGGACTAATGAGCAGATTGGGAGCAGGTGTGAGCAGAGCAGGAAAGGAGCTAGGGAAAAAGGAGAACACAAGAGGGCAGCAGAGGGCAACAAATAAAAACCTGAAGACTGAAAATAACCAGAGAACACAACAAAATAAGAACCAAACCACTAAGACTAGAAAACAAGGAGCAAAGTAAAACTGAACACTCAAAAGAAAAACGTAACAGAACCAGAACTCTGACAGAAGGTATGTCTGCTCTAAAAACCAGGAGAATTGTTTGGCCTTGCAGGTGAAACAGGCCGAGTGAAAACTTTTATAGCGAGTAAATAGGATTACTTAATATATGAAATAACAGAAACTAAAATTTCTGACCACATACTCCAAATGACATTAAGAAAAAACTAATTCCTTTGTTCCTAATCCTGTAAAACATTTAACTTTATATAATAAAATAAACATCTAGAATATAATAAACTAAATGTTTATTATAAACCTAGCTAATAGTTAGCATCTGGCTCCCTTCACACTGACATAAAAATCTGGTTCTAACCCCCCGCTGGTTAGAATTGCTGATGTCACCAGTACGACAGAAATCAGGGAAGTAAACAATGGAGAGCTACATGGAAGGAAGCCATGGCGTAGTCAGTGTGCTTTATTGTTTCTCTGTATCATCTGTCTGAATCCGTCTCACCAGAGCTGCTCCATGTTTATCCAATGGAAACAGTTGATTCGGCTTGTTAGATCAGAAGCGGCTGGCGCGGTGTGTTGACGCTTCGTACGTTGCTGTCATGAAACGCAGACAGAAGGACCCAGTATTCAAGGAGAGACAGTCAGTAGGAAAGTTCAAAACGTTTATTAATAAACAAAACAAAAGTGGAGCTGTGGCTAGCGGACACTGCAGGCAGGGGGGCGGGGCACAGCCCAATCTCAGAGACTCTGTAATGGGAGAAACACAGGTAAGTGACCACGATCATCTGACAGATGATTATCTGAGTTGGTCACTTACCTGGTTTAACAGTCCAGACCAAGAATGTCCCCAGTGCTGCAGTCCCAGAGGTGATGCTGGAAGCTGATCCTGGTCAGAGATCCAGAACAGACAGGAACAGAAACAGGTGGCAGGATCCAGGCTTCCAGACATCCTAGAGCTCCCAGGAGGGTTCAGAGTCTGACTGGGACCAGAAGCATGACCAGGTGGTCACGCACAGGAGCAGACAGGATCAGGTGCAGACAGGCAGGCTCAGTGGCAGAGGGTAGCCGAGACAGGACGTGGAACCGGAACTTGAAGCAGGACTTTAAACTGGTCTCCTCCTTGGACCCAGGCTTACTGGATAAAAACTGAACCTCACCACATATAGAGCCAAAACCCAGAGGACTCTGCGGGGGAGGAACAGTGGACGATCAGGAGACGAGACAAACACTAAAACCCTCTTTCCACTGGCAGCTAGGATCCAGGACATGAACCATGGAGTAAAACTCACAGACAGGCTGACAGAAAGACAAGCAATGATCTGGCCCTGAATGCTCAGGCTGAACTGAATATAAACCAGAGGAAACAGGTGAGAGGAATAAATTATATTTGAGGCAGGGAGGGAAAAGGACAGGTGAGAGGAATGACTAATTAAGGAGCAAACAATCCAGATCATGACAGTTGCGTTAATTGGCATCACGTTATTTAGCGGGTCTGTGTTTCCAATCAGAGGCGAGGAGATTTTAACGCAGGTCGCTTGCCGAGTCATTTGACCCGGGTAGACATGCGTCAGTGAGCTGATCCCACAGCCACTAAAAGCTGACTGTTCCCGGGTTTAGACGGGTTTCTCCCCCAGTGGGAAAGAGGTATAAGTGAGTACCTAAGCTGGGCATACACTGTAGGATGTTTTTGCCCTTTTCGGACCAGAATTGCGAGAATTTTTCAATCAGGCCGACTTTCAGCCTGATGGTGCAGTTGTGATTTTATGTTCAATGCTCATCAAGGTAGGATGGCACATTAATGTTGGATTTTTATATTCTTTCATTTTATATTCTGATACTTTAAGAAGTTTATTGCCCTCAGTAGAGGTGGTAAAATATCTTATTTAATCAGATATTATTTCAGCTGTTATATAGTGTTTATGACACACAGTCCTACTAACTGTGTGTTAGAACAATAGATGAAAGAGTGATTCGAGCACTAATCACGGTCAAACCGTTAATTCTGCACAAACATGGAATAAATTCACCACAACTTCTGTTCAAAATATAAGAGTTTATTAACAAAAATTATTCAGCTCCAAGTCAAACATATTTCAGTTTAAAACTCTTAACTAAAACTAGTGAAACTCAACTAAACTAAACTAAACTACTATCACTGAAAAGAATAATGCAATCGTTTTTGGCATTTACTTAATCATATTTAGTAAGTTTAACACAATTGTTTCACGTTAGCAGGGTAGGACATAAACAATTGTGTTAAAGTAACTAAATAGGATTAAGTAAATGCCAAAGTGGTTAAATTATTTTGTCAGTGAGAGGAAGGGGAACATGGTGGAAACCATATTACAGTTTAAGGTGGATTTTTGTGTTTGAAACCAAAGTTTATCTGGAAGAATTTGGGATCTGATCAAATTAGCTTTTCACTAATTGAGAGAAACTGGAATGTTTTCAGACCAATTCACAATGCAGATCCATGAGGTGAATAAAACATTATTTGGCCAAATAATGTTTTATTAAACATTATTTGGAGAATACAGTTTGAAGAACTAGAAAATGACCCCATATTCCACCCGTGACCAGGATGAGCATAAAAAGGAAGGGCTATAGATGCTGCATGCATCATTTAGGGAGTTAATATTGGATTACTGCTTCAGCTCCTTCAGTTATTCACTGTCACAGGAAGGAGCTTTGGCCATTAATGTAAAAGATAATCCACCTGTATATAAGCCATCCTGATTGTACATATGTCACCTCAAATCTCTGTGTACTCCCTTATATTTTTATTTTTTTATTTCTTATTTTATTTTTTATTTTTTTATTCCTAATGCACCTTTTCCTCCTTGTTTGCACCTTCTTTAATTACTATGCCAATATGTGACAAACTCATTCCTGGACAAAAAGATAAACTTGACTTGTTTATTTAAATTAATAATATCTGTTCAATTTAATCTATTATTTGTATTTATTGAAGCATTATTTTTGCATTTTTATGTTTCATTTGGTACCAAAAAAAATATTGACTACATTAACATTTTACTGTAAATAAAAGAGTTTGTTCAGTCACTAGTGCACATAGAAAGGAGACTAAAAAGTTGTCCCAGTGTGTGAATCTTCTGGGAGAAATAGAGGTTTGGGGTTGATTGATTGATTGATTGATCTTTTTTGAGCCAGACAGAGAGGGGCGCTTTGGCCCCGCCCCCCGTCGTGGCCCCGCCCCTGAATCTGTGTCACGCTTCGTCTGCTGAGCGGAGAACAGGAAAACAGCAACTTCCGTGTTCCACGTCAGAGCTCACAGAGACTCGAACCTGAGCGGAGAGGCACACCTGAGGCGCCAGGTGAGCTGGAGGCACCGGTCCGGATTGGTTCTGTCAGGTACTGAAAGACTCTCTGCTTGATCTGATCCAAACTGATTAGAAATCACCAATTAAACAATCAGATCAACTAGTTTTAACTTAATCTGGGAAATAATCCTCTGCTGCCTGTTAAACCAGTGAGTGGTTCATTAATAAACCAGTTCATTCTGTTTTAGTAGGATTTTTAATTAATCAGTTTAAAGATAAACAGATTTAGACTAAAACTGTAAAAAAAAAAAAACAGTTTAATATTTAATTAAAAATACATGATTGCTATTATAATAATAAATGATTATAATAATAAATGATCATGATCTTCTTTACTCTGCATAATCATTTCCTTTTTCTGCTCCATGTTTTTAAACTCTGCTGATGATGCAGAGAGCAGAAGTTTATCAGCTTTATTTAATTAACAGTAAAAGTCTCTGATTGAAGGTTTATGGTTCAGTTTATTAACGGAGCTTTTTCTGTTCCAGATTGATTTTAACCAACTTGTTGATGATTTGCTGCTCTCCTCTTCATCCTTCATCAGTCATCATCACCTGGTTTCTTCAGGCGGGTCCAACATGACTGAGGTGAGATGAAAGCAGATGTTGGTTTCCCACCAGCTGCGCAGCTGTGGAACAGATCCACCGCCACACACCCAGACGTCTGTGGATGGCAGCCGTCCCGCCCCTGTGGGCCCCGTGAGAAGATGCTGGAGCCATCGGACCCCCGGCTCCTCCAGGACCAGCTGGACTTCTTCCATAAGCTGGGATTCTCCACGGCTCAGGTTCAGGCCGTCCAGCAGAAGTTTGGCACCGACACGGACAAGGTGCTGGGAGAGCTGGTTCGGATGGGGGCCGGTCAGGAGGCCAAGCCGGGACCAGTGACCACCGTCTCTGTGTTGATGCCCAGAGGGGAAGCCAAGGATGGGGCCCCTGAGCTGCTGCTACCGATCCACAGCAGAGAAGACGGCGGAGAGGACGGGGACGCTCTGAGGGCCGTGGTGATAGACGGCAGCAACGTGGCCATGAGGTGAGAGCTACCCATCATTAATTAATTCATTAATTAATCATTCATACATTCATTCATTCATTCACTCATTTATTCATCTCATTCTGAACATTGTGATCATTTCATCCAGATCTCATCAAGCAGAACTTGGATTTGGTTCTGATAATAACTAAACAATCTGCTTTTAATTGTTTTGATCTGAGTTTTTTCATATTTTATTTTAGTTCTAAAGAAAACTTTCCAAAAATATTGGGCCATATGAAGAATCTGAAAAGTGCGTCTTATATTTATAGCATCGTTTCAGTCAGAACCTCCTCCATCCTGAGATTTATTCTTTTAAAAAGCTTCTCCTCCATCAGGGTCTCATTGGTTTCAGGACTGGACTTTAACTAGGCCATTCTGACACATGAATCTAAACCCTCTGAACCTCCACCAGCCTCGAGGCTTCTCCCGCGTCTAACGGCTTTTCTGCATGACGCTGCCACCACCTTGCTCCGAGATAGGCTGGTGGTTCTGGTCTGCTTGTGTTCCACTCCATCAGTCAGGCTGGACCTCCATGTCCTGCAGGGTCTGTAGGACATGGAGGTCCATCCTCCCTTCAGGTGCAGAAGGTGTTCGAAGGTTGGGGGATTTTTGCAGAACCTAACCCTGCTTTAAACAGAAGCAGAACTTCCTGATATGTCTTCCTTGGCTTCATGATGCTGGCTGTTATCTAACATCTGAGGTCAGATTCGGATTAGGTTGGAACGTTCTGGACTTCCAGGTAACTTCTGAAGATGAACGGTTGGATTATCTTCAGATGTCTCCTCTTATGATTTAGTTTTTTCTTCTACTCCCCGGTTCGCCTTTTTTTGGTTGATCAGTCACATTAAGTCCAAATAAAATCCCCTAAAGTCTGCGGTTCTAACAGAATGTGGAGAAGTTCAGGGGGATTGAATACTTTTCTGATTCCCCACACAAGTCTGTTGTCAGTGGCTCTGGTGGTGACTAGTTCCTGGTTCAGGTCTCGGGTCCATGAGGAACCTCCTGAAGCTTCAGACTTTCCAGCAGAATGTCCTGCCAACAAGCTTTCACTCATCAAACCAGCTGATGGTTCCAGGAAAACCTGACGGTTCTGTGTCCAAACCGAGTCCAGTCAGCAGCAGACTGGGTCAGATTAGCAGGAGACCTGACTGACAGCCGGACCCACTGCTCCGTGCAGCTCCTGGGCTGAAGCTTCCAGATCAGTGACTTTAAATTAAACCCGGTTTGAGCGCTGACTCAAGCCTCTTTCCCACTGAAAATAGAAGGCTAATGCATGTTTTTCAAACATGGGTCGACCCACTAACAATAAGCATTTGGCTCCCTCCCCATTGGCTAAAATGTTCAAAGCGTTCAATTGTATCACATAATTTTTTTCTCATAGTAGCTTCATCTGGTCTGTTCCTGTTTGGCTGTGACTCCATCCTGGAGAGAAATATCAGCTGTGCTGCTGCCATCAACACCTTTGTTTCTAGATGTTGGAGCTTGGCCTGTTTTCCAGTGTAGTCCTGTTTCTCTGACTGTGACTAACTGGATGTGCTCTCTTCATCCTCTGACATGGGAGCTGGCTCGGAGCTCGTCTGCCTGGCTGTGTGTTTCCTGGACGGGGCCGCCTGTGGAGCTGGTTGACAGTTGCCTTTTGTATCTATGCTTCTTTTTCTATGTCTGCTTCTGTCTCCTTGAACCCCAGTGGGCCTCAGCAGATGGCCGCTCACACTGAGCCTGGTTCTGCTGGAGGTTTCTTCCTGTTCAAAGGGAGTTTTTCCTCTCCACTGTCGCTACAAGCATGCTTAGTGTGAGGGATTGCTGAAGAGTCAATGAGTCGATGGAATCAGCTGGTTTTCCTTAGATAGAAAACTTTGAATCAATCTGACTGGATGATCTGGTGAACTGGAAAGTGACCTGAGATGACATGATGGGAATTGGAGCTATAGAAATAGACTGAATAGAATTGATTTGATCCCAAATATGTTGATAAATTTTTAGAACTGAATTTTACTCTGATTAAAACGATCTGATAAGCGGCTCGGCATCCTGCCTCCACCCAGCAGTTTGAAGGAAAAAGTACCCAACCCCTTTTCTGGGGCAGTTTATCGCCCCAGTATTCACATTTTCCCCTTTTTAGTTGCCATGGAAACAGAGGATGCTAAATAAACTGAGAACTGCAAAGGCTCCTTGTGTGAAGGCGGGGGGGCTTATCTGAAACACTCAGATCTAGCATTTTGCAGCATGCAGCGTTTTTGCCAAATGCAGACTGAGGTTGTTTGGCAGCAGAGGGAGTTTCAGGGGATTTTCTCTTTTCAATCAGCTAAACCACAGAAATCATCCAAACTCTGCTCTGCGCTGAAGACTGAGACGGCAGCCGAGAATGTAGGTCAGCGTGAAGGAGGACTGTGGTGGGAATGCTGCGCAGGCTGCAGATGATATACAACATTCTAGCTGCTCTAGGTCTGGGTCTTTCTAAAAGTTGGGGGGTGTTAAAAACAAAACCTCAGGACTTGTTTTAACAGGATGGTTTAATATTTTTTTTTTTTTTTTTTTTTTTTTTTTTATTGCTGGTTTCGATGTGACCAGCTCACAGCTTTGGGTAAGAACCTAAAACCAAAAACCCTGCAGAGCCTCTGATTTCCACTCAACGCTTCCTGCTGCACCCATCTAGCTTCTCTGCACTGAATGTTCAGATTTCTATTTTACCTGCAGGCAGTCTTTGCACACACCTCTTTCACACCTTCGCTCGGGTTCAGGCATGTCAGAAATGACTTCTTTCAGTCTGAGTAGGAACATGCCCTCCGCTGCGTCGCATTACAGCCAGAAAGCACCGAAGATCAAGCTGCAGGCAGACGTGGAGTTTCCCCAGCATTGAAACTGCCTGATGGTGTGAAACTTGGACCAGTTGGTTTATTATTTCCAGGGGGCCCTTATGATGAATGTATGGGACACCCTGAGGGAGCAACATGAGCAACCAGTTCCAATAACTACTAAACCCTCAGACTGTAAAATATCTGAATATTGATCAACTTTTCTTTGGACAGACATTGTTTTGTTTCTCCGGTTAAAGATCAGAATCCCAGGAGGCATTTTCCAGGAACGAATGGGAATCAGATTACAGAGAAAAGATTCATTCACAGCTTTTAATTTGCTCAAATTAAAACTTTTCTGTCCAGGATCAGAAGAGTTTGTCAAGGAGAACCTCTTCTTTATTATAGTCGGTACTGATGTTCCTCTAGCCTGATAAACCAGACTAAATGTGAGATTAAATGTCTAATCTAGTCTGGCCCCGATGAATGAGACATCGGAAGATTGTTGGTGAGAACAACCATTTGTTTTTCAAATCATGTCTGTGCCTATTGGCCAACGCTCTGACCAATGAGAGCCACTGACTGTGACGTAGGAAGCGTGACAGGAAGCTGGTGGGGGAGTGGAAACTAACAGCCTGTCGGTAAAACGGCGAATACGTCCTTCTATAAAATGAACGAGCGTAGATCCTCTTCCTGCTCACGTTTAAACGGAAACCCAAAGTCTGATCCTTCCAAACTGATTCCAAAGCTGAGTCAAACCAGAACTGTTCAAAGGTTGTTGCCATCTTCCTTGTTACACTTTCTTCAGCGTTGCTCAGCTTTGTCGTCACGCCCTCAAAACCCCGCCCACTTTGCATCCAGAACACATCTCTGCGTTGTGATTGGCCCGCCAGTTCTAGGGCCCGGGGCATTGATGGAGGCTAGACCACTGCAGGCAGAAATGATTTTGGCCGCTGGTGGGTGGGGCTAGTTTACGAGGCTAGTGTTCCTCAGGACCTGGTGTTCATCAGGGCCGTGTGTTCAGCACCTGTAGTTTCTCATTCTTTGCTCGCTGTGGGAGATTGCTGCAGTCACGACACCATGCAAGTAACTCCCCACTGTTACCATCGGCTCATGTGGGAGGAGAGATATTTAGGAGTCAATGACAGGATGCAATCTGCTGCTTTGATCAGAAGATCTGACTGAAGTGTCTCTAGAAAATGACTTGACATGATGTGCTGTGAACCAGGGCAATGGGAATATAGAGTTTTAAATAGAATAATTTGATAATATTTCATAATTGTTCAAAATGTTCTTGTTTGGTGACTCATGTTTAAAACAGGAGAGTGAGGTGATAAAAATGAGGGCGGAAAGGGTCCACCTACCGTCACAAACAACCTTTGGTTTGGTCGTTTCTGTCTCAGACAGCCGCCTCGTCCAGAAAAAGTGCTTTTGTTTGGTATCTCATCAAGTGCTATGACAGAAAGTTCTATTCAGTTTATTTCTATAGCTCCAATTCACATCATGTCATCTCAGGTCACTTTCCAGTTCACCAGATCATCCAGTCAGATTGATTCAAAGTTTTCTATCTAAGGAAAACCAGCTGATTTCCTCGACTCATTGACTCTTCAGCAATCCCTCACATTAAGCATGCTTGTAGCGACAGTGGAGAGGAAAAACTCCCTTTGAGTAGTTGGTTCCACAGGAGAGGAGCCTGAGAACTAAAAGATCTGCCTCCCATTCTACTTTTAGAAATTCTAGGAACCACTAGTAAACCTGCAGACTGAGAGCGAAGTGCTCTGTTAGGAACATAAGGAACAATCAGATCTCTGATATCAGATGGAGCTTGGCCATTTAAGGCTTTATATGTGAGAAGGAGGATTTTAAATTCTATTCTGGATTTAACAGGAAGCCAATGAAGAGAAGCCAGGATAGGAGAGATATGATCTCTCTTTTTAATTTTCATCAGAACTCTGGCTGCAGCATTTTGGATCAGCTGAAGGCTTTTAACTACAGTTTGTGGACTTCCTGATAGTAAAGAATTACAATAGTCCAGCCTTGAAGTAACAAATGCATGGACTAGTTTCTCAGCATCACCCCTGGACAGGAGATTGCTCATTTTTGCAATATTCCTCAGATGAAAGAAGGAAATTCTAGAAACCTCTTTGATCTGGGATTTAAATGACAGGTCCTGATCAAAAATAACACCAAGATTTTTTACTTCATTATCTGAAATCAGTTTAATCCCATCCAAATGAAGTGACTGACTAATCAGCTTCTTTTTCAGAGACTCTGGTCCAAAGACTATAACTTCTGTTTTGTCTGCATTCAGAAGCAGAAAGTTAAGAGTCATCCAGGTTTTTCTGTCTTCAGACATGCCTGTAATCTATGTAATGGGTTAGCTTCATCTGGATTTATAGACAGATATAGCTGGGTATCATCAGCATAACAGTGGAAATTAATGCCATGCTGTCTAATAACTACCGATTGGGAGCATGTATAAAGTAAAGAGAATTGGTCCTAGCACTGATCCCTGTGGTACTCCACAGGTAACCTTTGAGCATTAGGAAGATTTTGTCAGGTTGTGTGGAGGTTTTGAGGACCCAAATGCAGAGAGGAGTTGACAGGGAAGAGTTTCGATGATTTCATAAAAGTACAAGGGGAACAAAGGCAAAAATCCAAAAATACTGAAAACCAAACAAAAACCAATAACGTCACAGAAAATACTTGAGAGAAGCTAGAGACTAGAAGTCAACAAAACATTCTACAACACACAAGAAACCACCACAAAGATCCTCTATAGTAGAGATGCAAAACTTGCACTAACCCACACAGAGACCCTGACAGTTTTATAATTAATGTTAACAAACTGAATTCAATCAGATAGATCAGATTTAAACCAGTCTAGAGCTGTTCCTTTAATTCCAACAAAATATTCAAGTCTTTCTAAAAGAATATTATGGTCAACTGGATCAAATGCAGCACTAAGATCCAACAGGACGAGCACAGATACAAGTCCATTATCTGAGGCCATGAGAATATCATTAGTGACTTTCACCAGAGCTGTTTCAGTGCTATGATGAGCTCTAAAGCCAGACTGAAACTCTTCAAAAAGTTCATTATGGTGGAAGTGATCGCAAACTTGTTTGGCAACTACTTTCTCAAGAATTTTGGATCAGAAAGGAAGATTGGATATAGGTCTATAATTGACCAAGTCATCTGGGTCAAGAGACGGTTTCTTAAGCAGAGGTTTAATTCCAGCAACCTTAAAAGCTTTAGGTACATATCCCTGTAACAGAGATAGATTAATCACATCTAAAATGGAGGAGGAGATCAAAGGGAATACCTCCTTAAATAACCTGGTTAATTTAGGAGGTATTCCAGAGATAAACCAATCGCGGATAGAGGAGTGCTAATGATCTTATTTTTAATAAGATCAATCTTATTTATAAAGAATCCAATAAAATCATTCCTGCTAGGAGCCGGTAAAAATGGACGGTTCAACAGAGCTATGGCTCTGGGTGAGTTTGGCAACTGGATTAAAAAGATATCTAGGATTATTCCTATTCTACCATAGAGTAGGAGTTTTAAACTAGGACTCTGCTTCCTTTTTAAAAACATTTTTTTTTAATACTTTAATAGCAGAGGGCTGCCATTGTGCGGCGCCCGGGGAGCAGTGTGGGGTTAAGGGTCTTGCTCAGGGACCCAGAGTGGCAGTCTGTGGGAGTGGGTCTGCACCCTGGGGGGTCAGGGTTCTGGAGGACTAATAAATGTGGCCAGATTCCTGGAAAGAAGAGCTGCACCATCCAGAGTGGGATGGATGCCGTCTCTCCCAATCAGACCAGGCTTTCCCCAAAAGGATTGCCAATTATTAATGTAGCCCACGTTGTTTTCAGGACACCACCTAGACCTGTAACCTGTAAACCTGTAAAGTTTTAACAAAGCATGTTTGATTCTAATTTCTTTTTTTTGTTTATTTATTCATTTTATCTCATTCATTGAAAAAAAAATAATAATTTCCGGAAGCTTGTAGGATCTGCAGGTTGATTAATACCTGTTGAGGTTTTCTGGCTCTGGATGAAGCTTTTCTCCTTTCCTAACCAGGAATGCTGCTTGGCATCAGAGGCGATGCGTCCGGATCACCACTCAACTGTTTCTTTCTGTTTTCTCACTCATCCACGGCAACAAGGAAGTCTTCTCCTGCCTGGGGATCCAGCTGGCGGTGAACTTCTTCCTGGACCGGGGCCACACCGACGTCACCGTATTTGTGCCGTCATGGAGAAAAGAGCAGCCGAGGCCAGACGTTCCCATCACAGGTAGGAAGACGCCGAGGAGCGAGCAGAACCGCAGCAAAGCGTCAAACGTCTCAGCAGCTTCAGGTTTAATGGATTCAGGTGCTGAAAAGAAAGAAGCTTTAAATGAAGCTCAGGGATTGGACCTCCAAGGCTTCCATCCATAGAAGCTGTTGGTCTAAGAGCACAGATCGATCATGCCTAGAGACTCGCTTTATTTGGTGTTTCACTTCATGAACCGTTTCAATCAAACCTGATTTATTTTTCACCCGTTTGGTTTAAATTTTAAGCCAAACGGGTGAAATGTTCCTGAAGCTCAGAGGTGAAGGTAGTTTAGTTAATAAGCAGGATGTGGTTACCCGATGACCTGCTGGGAAATCCCGGCTCACAACAGGCTAGTCATCTTCTTTCCACACTTCATCTGCAGTTTGTCAAATCTTGAAGATAAAATGTTGGTTTTCTGCTGCTTGACACCAAAATGGCTTCAGGTAGAAGCGGATATTTTGCACAATGAAGATGAGTTGGTCTGATAATCAACCGGGTCACGTCCGTCTGCAGGGGTAGACCAGTTACAAGAAACAACAGCAGTTTCCTGGAAAACAACAAAAGAAGCATGAGTGGAAAGTTCCTCAGTCAGCAGCTTAAATCACACTTTCTGTCACTAAAACCTTCATCAGCTGGATCTGCGCTTTCTTTACGGGGAATCAGAAATGGTTGCTTCACAGCAGCTCTCATTGATTCTCTCTTTCTTTCTAAAATTGTTTTATTTCAGGCTAAATACTCCAAATTTTTCCTTCATTACTTCTATATTTATTTTTAAGTTTTTCACAGCTTTGAAGCTTGAAACAGTCTGTTTCAGATCAGCTTTCTGGTTCTAAAGGGTCCGTCAGAAATGCACTACTAACTTATGCTGGTGAAGAAGCGGCCATTCAGGTCAGAGTCAAAAAACTTAAAAAAATCAATCCTCTGGACTTTGTTTCCAAGTTTGAAGACGTTTCTCTTCCATCCAGGAAGATTTTTCAATTCAAAATGTCAGAAATAGCGTTTATCCAGCAGCCCAACAAAGCCTGGTTTTAGTTTAGAAAACATGGCTTGGCTTGGCTTGGCTGAATAGGCGAGGTCAGCTGAACCCCCCCCCCCGTTTAAGGTTGGTCTTCTTTGTCCAACATGTAAAGATTCTGGTCCTCCATAGAATGTCCTTTGTCCATCAGGTGTAGATGCACAGCAGAGTCTTGTCCAGAGGAGGGCGCTCTTCTCTGTTGGGCCATGCGTCTGTGGAGAGGTTGTTTGGTTTCTCCAATATACATTATGATGCAGTTCAATGCAGTGAGGAATCCTCTGCAGCGTCTAGAGCATCTGAGGCGCTTCAGAAGCAGCTGCTGGAGGTGGATAAATGTAACTTTAGCTGCTGGATGCGCCTAATCACAATGAGAGAAGCTGATCTGGGAGCTGGCAGGGAGTCAGACGCAGCACTGCTGATGCAGAGCGCTATGATCACTCCTCTGAAACAGTTTATTAACGCCTAAATTAACTTCAAATGTAGAAACCTGCCGGCAGAATATGTTGGCTTTTATTATCCTGCTGCCTGCAGTTTGTAGCACAGACCTGAAAAACGCTAACATCTACTTCCAGCCGCCACCAACAGGAGGGGAAAACCCTGGAGAGGCGAGCGGGCCTGAGGCAGCTGCTGCTGGGGATTCCCAGTGACAGCGCAGCGCCGGTATGTGGGGGTCTGAGCGGCTCCCACAGAGAAATAATCTTTGAAGGCAGGATGGTAATCTGGATGAACTGACTGCACAGACCATGTTTTCAGGAGGACTTTCTCACTTCAACATAGATTCTAACTACTTTCTACCCGCTGATCACAGCTAATATAGCAAAGCTGCTCTCTGGCATCGAACACAGGAGCAGCAGAAGCATTATGCTGCTTAAAACGCCTCTGGTGTGAACATAGCCTTAGTCTGCATTCAGGAGGAACTGGACCAGGTGCTGATTGTAGCTCTGATCTGGAAAAGCGGGAGATTCTTATCAGAATCCAACATGGCTGCCAGCTGTAGAGAACGCTGCAAAGCCTTGGGTTCTCACTGACAATCATGGTTATCCATATTCAGAAAACCGATCTAAGCACAGTTCTGAGTTTATCCTAAATTAGAGGTGGGACCGCCCCTACTGGACCCAGTAAAGGACGGCGACTGCAGGAGCCGTTTGTTCAAAGGTGGATTTTAGTTAGAACCAGTTTAGAAAATGTTTGTTCCAGAAAATCTGACCCAGACGAGGAAACGGTGAGAGCCATTCGGACTGAGCAGAACCCAGAGTCTCCGTCTGTAACCAGAAGATGTTCTTCCTCTCTGAGCAGATCAGCACATCCTGAGGGAGCTGGAGAAGAAGAAGATTCTGGTCTTCACGCCGTCCCGCCGAGTGGCAGGAAAACGCGTCGTCTGCAACGACGACTGCTTTATCGTCAAGCACGCCTTCGAGTCGGACGGCGTGGTCGTGTCCAACGACATGTACCGTGACCTGCAGGGGGAGAAGCCCGAGTGGAAGCGCTTTATCGAGAGAAGGCCGCTCATGTACTCCTTCGTCAATAACAAGTAAGCCCCGCCTTCTGACGGTACCTTTAGAAGAAGCGGCAGACTGACGTTTGTGTTTTGTTCCAAAGGTTTATGCCTCCTGACGATCCTCTGGGCCGACATGGACCCAACCTGGAGAACTTCCTGAGAAAGTTCCCAAAAACTCAGAAGAAGCAGCCATGTCCTTATGGTGAGAGAACAGCCGACCCAAACCCAACTCACCTCTACTGGAACCGGACCGCAGCCGGTCAAAACTAACCAATAGCTTGCTAATCGATTAGTCTGTGACTTCTTTTTCAACTAATCGCTAATCGGATGCTAAAAAGATTTTTATCAGAATTCAAATGAAGGTAAAACTGTCCCATTCAGGCCTTCTGGATGAAGAGGAACGAACAAAAAGATTTTTTATAATTTTGGTATAAAACAGTTTGGAGTGGGTTTCCCTTTCAAACTAAGGCTGCAGTTAACGATTAATCATTTATTTAATTAATCAATGAATCACGATTTATCCGAATAATATTTTCCACCCGAGTAAAAACACGAGAACCCTGTCAGCCATTACCGAGTAAAACATGGAGGTAGGAGGTTCCGTTTCAGCCAAGTTCTGCTGATCATCCAGTCTGGGCCGTTTGTCAAAGTGGGTCACCATCTGGATCCTGATCAGGATTCAGAGCTCAGTAAACCGGTTCCGTTTGGAACTGCTGTAGTGGGAGTGGCCCTAGTTGGTGGGTGCAGATCTGCTCAGGGCCCCCTCCTTTCACCTGTTTGTTAAGAATCAGATCTTCTCTGGAGTCTCAACATATTATTCCCTTTATTTGCTTTTATTTAACGTTTTATTGGCGATCTAAAGTAACGTAACAGGAAAAGTCCTGCTTTCTAAGACAGACTGAGCTCTGCTATTTAACAAGGAGACACTAAAAGTCTCAGCTTATTTTTAGTCTTAAGATTTGAGGTCAGAGGAGGAAAAATTAAACATCCTAAAAAATGACTTTCATAGAGATTTTAGACAAATAAACAGTTATTCTACTTGTAGAAAACGAACGGTTGTTGTTGACATAAATTTAAAAGTAGCTTAATGTGGCTAACTGATCGAGCCAAAAGAGGCTAACCTGTTAGCTACAGCTAGCAGTGGGCTGCCATCGTTAGGTGCCCAGGGAGCACTGTGGGGTTAAGGGTCTTGCTCAGAAACCCAGAGTGGCAGTCTGTGAGAGTGGGCTTCAAGCTCACAACCTGAGGATTCCAAGCTCTATGCCCTGACCAATAGGGGCCACTTCTGTTATTACTGTTGTCTAGGCAACCACGATCTTTTACCTCATGTGGGAACATTCGGCCAATCATGTAGCGTGATGTCACTGGCAGGAAGCAGGGATGGAGCAGATCTGGTACCTGCAGCCATAGACCGGTATTTGGGCCGCCTACCAACCACATCGGACACCAGGGGGCAGTAGTGCTGCGATAGAGCGTTCCAGGAAGTCCAGCCTTTGGAACATGATCAAACTGAATTCATTACCAATTTAAAAAAGGTCATTTAAAACATAATAATCTTAAACCTGAAACAACTTTGCTTTGAAGGAAGCGGTTTGGGGATTTAAAGGAAATATTAGTTTATTTTTATATCATACGATTTCACTGCTTTAATGGGGGGGGAGGTTAAGTCAAAGGAGGGATTATGTGCATTTGAAATCAAAATTGTTAATAATTTTTAATAAAAACAAAGACCAAAATAATATTAACCCTTTATAGGGCACTCAGTAAAATACTTTGAAAATCCAGATTTCAAGCCAATAGTGTTATTGCAATCCAGGACCAAACCTTATTACCTTGGATGTCAATGTAATAACAAGTGATCATAAACGCTAACTTAATAATAATAATAATAATAAATCCAATTTGTACCGCACTTTTCATTAACAAAAATCTCAAAGTGCTACACAGTGCAAATAAAATCAAAGATAAATATCAACATCATAAAAATCATATGGAGGCAGAATAAGCTTGCTTAAATAAAAAAGTCTTCAAGCCTCAATAAAGGGTTAAAACAATAAATCATTTTGCTGGATTTGCCTCATCATGTGAAAATGCATCTGGTCTGTAGTTGACTGAGAATCAAAGCATTTCTTCCTAACAAATCAATTTTAATTTTCTGCAGTCAGTCCAGTTATAAATTCAGCGCCTGCGTCCTCCAAATGTTCGTTGGTCATGACGTCACAGCGCGTCGCCGAGGTCTGTTCTGATTGGACGACGCTTCGTTATGCGGCCGTCAAACGCATTCCTTCTTTTTTCCGTTTTGAAGGACGGTTCCGCTGTATCCTCTCTATCCTGGGGTATCCCAGGATTCATTGTGAGTCCAAGCAAGCCGGCTGCTCCGTCCTCAGAGGACACCTGGGAAATGGCGCAGAACAGTGGTGAATATTGGAATTGCAGTTTAATATAATCCAGTCTGCAAATAGTTCCGTCTGAAATGAATAAAAATCGTTGTTTTAATGGTTATTGAGTCAGATATGTGGCGGCTAATAAGACATGGTAGCTAATGCTAGCGTATTAGCTACCATGCTTCTTTCTCTTCACTTCTATAAAACTATAATCATTAAGTACAGTTTTACTAAGTCAGACGATACTCTGAAATACTATTTCATGAATCAATAAGTGAAATATTAACTAAAAATAGATGAAGGACCAAGATGAGACTGTTTTTTGGGTCGTCGCCTCATTTTCCTCACAAAGGCTTCACTAGTGACTCCATGTTCAGTGGAGAACAGCCGACTGGAAAATGCTTTATTTATGAGTTATGGAAGAAAATAAATAAAACAGAGTTTCGTTCATAAGGAAAGATGACAATCAATGAAAGGAAACATTTTAGTTTACAGTTTGATTCTTAGCAAAGTGTTTCTGGCTGAAAGCAAACCTGCTACCATAAATATTTATTCCAAATCCAAACATTACAGATAATGGTTGGAGCTGAAGCCCCGCCTCCTGCTCGGCGCCGCTGATGGAAGCGAGCATGCCGTGGCGGGTTACAGCCCTTACACCAATATGCAAACGAGTTCTAAATGTCGGAGGATCAGAAGCGTCTTTAGCTGCAGGTCGGGCTGCTCTTATGCAAATTATGGCAGAACCAGTCCCACCGGGACCTGGAGGAAAAACAAAACAGCTAAATCTGCAAGTTTAGAACCCCAGGATGTCCTGACATTTACCTGATGCGTTCCAGAGAAAACGGACCTTTTCTGATCCGGTCCTGTTCTGTTTTCTCCTTCCAGGGAAGAAATGCACCTTTGGGATCAAATGTAAATTCCTCCATCCGGAGCGAAGCAAGCAGTCCAACCGGGCCGTGGCTGACGACCTCCGGGAGAACGCCAAGAACCCCGCGGCCGCTCAGAAACCCGCCCGCCGCAGTCCGGCTCTGGACCTCAGCCTGACTCTGATGGAGGACATGGCCCAGAAGCTGACTCTGGGGCCTGAGGGCGGCTGCGCAAAGAGACAGGATCCGAAGGGGGGGCACCACTCCGGGAAAAAGGCCCAGAGCAGGAGGGAGAAAACGGGCCAGCATTCGGAGCAGACCTCCAAGAGGCCCGACGGCTCCCAGGAGCCGCTGGACTCTGGTTTGGGCTCCATAGACAGTCAGCAGCTGGAGACGGCCTGGAGACTCCCTGACCAGAAGTACGAGGCATCAGTCGGAACCGGCCCGCACCGGTTCTGCCCCTCAGCCGGCACCGTCTGCAGCTGCTGCTCACACGACCTGTTTCAGCCCAGCAGGATGGTACCAGTGGGCAGCCGCAGCGCAGATCTGACCCGCTATGGCCTGCCCGCCTATCCCAGCTGTGCTCTGGTTCCGCCCAGCAGAACCGCTTACAGTCAGCCCGCAGAACTCCTTCCCGGCAGAGTCCATCAGCACTGGTCCGACCCATTCAGTGGTCCCCCTCCAGAGGCCCGCAGCCTGCCGGGGGAACGCTGCGCGTGGGAGGCCGCTCCGAGTCCGAGTCCAGGTCCCGGTCCAAAGGACAGGGAGGTTGTCCGGAAGAAGCTCCTGGCCATCTTCAGCGCCCAGCTGGTGGACGCCGCCATGGACCGCTTCCCTCAGGTTCTGGACCCTCAGGTTCTGGTGGCAGAGATCCTGATCCTCCAGAGTCAGAACCGGTCCCTGAGATAAGTCCGGTCCAGCCGGATGGTGCCGGCAGGTCAGACCAACATCAGTGGGTGTGTTTATGTAGAGTGGTATCCACCGGGTCAGGGAGGCGTCCAGAACCGCTCTGCTTCTGATGCAAATTGCATCTTTATTTAAAAACTGCTTTGAAGCCTCTGAACCGGCCGGGGCCGGTCCAGTTCAGAGTCAGAACCTCTAGAACTTCTTCTCTGATGACCTTCAGCTGTTCTTTCACCTGCTAGTTCTCATTCCAACTGGACCGGGCCAACCTTTGGGTTCCTAATAAAGAGGAACCCATTGGTCTAATACTGGATCACCTCCGTGGTTCTGCATGTTCTGGTCACTCTGCTGAGTGGAGCCCTGGACCAGAACACCAGAACCTTTGGGAAGTCCTGCTCCATCCCCCCGCAGCATCATGCAGAGAAAAGGTTCTGTCCAGATGGGCCCGGTCCAGAATAAACTGATGCTTTGCTTCGTTGGAGAGGTTTGGACCAAACAGACCAAAGGTTCTGTTCTTTAGTTTCTGTTAAAGCTGAAAGATGGAGGAATATGACCAGAAGAGGGCAGCAATGAGCCAGGTTTTACCAAAGGTTGCTCGACTGGTTCCATCAGAAAAGACTCGTCATTCGACTTGGACTCGAATCCTGATGACTTGAGACTCAACCTTCTAATAAATGAACAGTCTAAAGGCGAAGTGGTCGTTTCCAGCCTCTCTGGGCGGTTCTGGTTCCGCGTTCATGTAGAGAAACGTTGTAGCTGCAGCTTCAGGCTGTTTTTATCAAAGACGTTCAGTTCGTTTTTTGGAACAGAACCTTCCTCTCCGTCCCAACAGGACTGAGATCCAACAGAACCTGTCTGTGCGGAACGGATCGGTACCATGGAGCTGTTTCTCTGAAGGGAATGTGTCTAAATATCTCAGCTAACTGTAGGAGAGTTTGTTTGGTTATCTGGACCCGTCCCAGAACCCCTCAGAACCCCTCAGAACCCTTCAGCGACCTGCAGCACAGCATAAGTGTCCAGACCCTTTTTAAACAGGGATTATCTGGGTTAGGATTGGAACGACTCGTTCATTTCTTCTGCTGCATCCTGTCAGGATATCTCCATAGAAACAGCCTCTAAAAAGTAGAAAACATCTGAAAACTGTTAATAAATGAGATTATTCTCAGATTAAAAAGAAAAATGTATAGATTAAAAAAGACTTCTAATGATGCATGTCATATTTATGGATAAAATGAGAACAACTTTATGAATAAATGACGGATGCAGAAAGTGAGCAAATTCTAGAAGTTCTGGTTCTTGCTGATGGTTTTCTGTAATAAAGATTAGGAAACATAAAAACATCTCTGGCTTATTTTAGAAACCAAACTAAGCTGTTGCTGCTCTCTGGCACAGTTGGGATTTCTGCTGGACCTTCAATTCTATTCAGTCTATTTCTATAGCTCCAATTCACATCATATCATCTCAGGTCACTTTCCAGTTCACCAGATCATCCAGTCAAATTGATTCAAAGTTTTCTATCTAAGGAAAACCAGCTGATTGCATCGACTCATTGACTCTTCAGCAATCCCTCACACTAAGCATGCTTGTAGCGACAGTGGAGAGGAAAAACTCCCTTTGAACAGGAAGAAACCTCCAGCAGAACCAGGCTCAGTGTGAGCGGCCATCTGCTGAGGCCCACTGGGGTTCAAGGAGACAGAAGCAGACATAGAAAAAGAAGCATAGATACAAAAGGCAACTGTCAACAGCAGCACAGCTGATATTTCTCTTGAACTAACAGATTCTGCAGAGTGGGAGAATAGAGATAGAATGATGAAAAAGGGGTCCCTATGTCCTCCAGCAGTCTAAGCCTATAGCAGCAGAACTATAGAGATAGATCAGGATAACCTGAGCCACTCTAACTAGAAGCTTTATCAGAAAGGAATTCCAAAAACTTCCAACACTTTTGAACCTCACAGGTTCATTGTTGTTTTTAAACCAGGGTCTAAGTTGAGCTTTAATATTTAAATCGGGTCTATTGTTGACTTTAAATCTTTGTCTTAAATATGAACAAATATGTTTCTTTATTATTTCCAATAAAGAAATCATTAATGAAGATGTTTGGCTGCTGCATCAACCTTCTGTGTTTAGAAGCAAAACCGGTTTAATAAAGACATCAATATATAAGGTTTCCTTTAGACCAGATAAGTCACCCGGTTTAATTCAGTTCTCTATGTTCCGGTTAGAAATTGCTTCAGAGGTTTATAACTTCTGGAAGATAAAGTTAGGCTGCCTACCTGACGTGAATAATTAAAAACAAACAGTAGTGTGGTCTGAAAATGTAGATTTCTCCCATGTTATAAGTTATGCTATTTACTCCCTGAAAAATCTTTACTCTGTTACTCTGTCTGTTTTACCTGCCGGGCCACACAATGCCTGAGCGAGGATTGTTTGCATAGAAAAATATACTTTTTTCAGGTTTATTCATAAGATGTTACTGTTAAACCAAAGTGTCTGTAATTTGTTGTGACTCTGAATACTTTTCATTATTTTAAGTAAGGAATAAAAATGCTGTCCAGATCAGAACAGGGCTGATTACTGAGCAATAACGGCTGAATGATGAACTGTTCTCTTTGCAAAGATGTATTAAAATGCTGACTCAGTGAAACCGTTGAATACATTTTTCTCAGGACAACTTGGCATCGTCAGCAGGATCCCTGACTGATCAACCTGGGATTCATTCCTGGCCTCAACCCAAACAGATGGAGGACGTCTCCCTAAATGTTTCCAGGGATCAGCTGGAGATTACAAACCGACCCATGTTTTAGAGACCGTGGGAAATCAGTCTGCATAACTCAAAGTTTTAGATTTAAAATTAATATAGAGGTAACTGTTTCTACAAGGGACAGAGATTTTTTTTCTTCATTTTGTCATGTTGGGATCAAGGTTTCTAACCCACATGCAGAACACACGGACTCCGAGGAAAAAGTTCAACAGTTTATTGAAACACAATGTGAATAAAGTACTGATGTTTGGAAACAGATCCAGGACTGGTCACAACAGGGTTCTCTGCAGAGAGGGACAGTTCGGTTAGCTGAGATCCAAATTCTGTTGCTAGTGGAGTAAATGCAGGTCTGTACCTGTTCAGTGATTTTGGCTGAGCGGCAGAGGGGGGGAACCAGGAGGGTCCAGAAGCAGAAGGTAGGCAGAGGGCTTGGCAGAGGCAGGGCTCAACTTCAGACCTTGCAGTGTTCAGATCTGTGTTACTTTCCAGTTCTCTTCTTGAGAGCGGGCAGGCAGGTAGACAGTTTGACTCTCCAGGGTTCTTCTGAGATCAGACAAGCTGGTTTCAGCTGAGAAACTCTTCCAGAGTTCAGTCAGGTTCTTCCTAGGAAGCAGAGAGGACAAAACAGGTTAGGTTTGAGTTCAGGTGTCAGGGGAGTCAGAGAATCAGACAGGCAGGTTGGCTCAGGCTTGCTAACCTCAACTGGCTTAACACTCTGGCACTGGAGTGTTGCTCTGCCACTGCTTAAATGCTGGTCTCCTGATGAGCAAACGAGCCGCAGGTGTGGTAGTCAGCTTCAGCTCCAGGAGACCTAGGGCGCCCTCTGCTGGAGAAAGGTGGACAGACCTCCAGATCCCAACACATTTGAGAACATAAGACTCTTATGCAGGAGTAACACATGGAGGGCTCTCTCTAAACACTGAGATTAAGGTTATAAGTCCAGAAGATATTCAATTTTCCTGAGATGACAATCTACACCATGTGCAGAATTATTAGGCAAGTTATATTTTTGAGGATTATTTTTATTATTGGGCCACATGTGTTCTCAATCAACCCCAAAGACTCCTTAATATCAAAGTTTCATATATTTGGAAGTTGATGAGTTTTATTTTTAGATTTGGCCGTTTAATGAGGTAGATCTCACCTTTCATGAAGGACCACAGGTTCTCCATGGGGTTCAGATCAGGTGACCCTTTTAGCCTTTTCCTGGCCGCCACGCCGTGGTGTATTCTGATGCGTGTGACGGAGCGTCGTCCTGCAGGAATATCAGGTGTTATCAGGTGTTCTGCTGTTTGAAGAAGGCGTCTTCCAGAAACTGGCAGTAGGTCTGGGAGTTGATCTGGACTCCATCATCAACCTGAAAAGGTCTCATAGGCTCATCTTTGATAATAGCAGCCCATAGCATTACCCCACCTCCACCTTGCTGGCGTCTGAGTGGATAAGGAACTTGCTGCCCTTTCCTGGTCCAGCCTGGTGCCCATCCATCCATCTGGACCATCTGGACTCTCTCTCATTCCATCAGACCCAAACACCTTGGAGGAATCAGTCTGCAGAGATTTCTTGGTCCAATCTTGACGTTTTGTCTCGTGCGTCTTGTTCAAAGGTGGCCTTTTTTCAGCGTTCCTTACCTTGGCCAGGTCCCTGAGGATTGAGCACCTTGTGCTTCTCGGCGCTCCAGACATGTTGCAGCTCTGAAATATGGAACAACTGGTGGCTGATGGCTTCCTGGCAGCTTCACGCTTCATCCTTCTCAATTCTTTTTATTTAGCGTCTTCGTTTTTCAACACGCTTCTTGTTCCCCTGTTGGCTATTTGCCATGAACCGCTTGATTGTTTGATGATCCCGCTTCAAAAGCTTCATTATTTCCAAACTGCTGCCCCCCCCCCCGAAAGACATCTGACCATTGTTGACTTTTCAGAGTCAAATCTCTTTTCTGACCCATTTCGCCAAAGGAAAGGAATAATTAAGCATGATGTCATTAGGCCACGCCCCTTCTCATTACAGAGATGCACACCACCTGATTTACTTCATTGGTAGTTTCTTTTCAAGCCTCTACAGCTTGGAGGAGGACAACATGTATGAAAAGGATGATGTGGTGGAAAAACTCATTTGTTTAATAATTCTCTACACCAGAGATCTTCAACAGGGGGTCTGCGACCCCTAGGGGGTGCACAGAGGTACTGCATGGGGGTCGCAAAACTATTGGTTTATTAGACTTTTTTTTTTCTTTTTTTTTTTATATTACCGCTTGATATTTTTTCCACTAATTAAAATGTCTTTAAATACACATTGACATGAATTCAACACACTGTAGTAAACAGATAAATTTAGGCAGATAAATAATAATCCAAGAGTTAAAACTCCATCTGTAACAGAGTGACTATAGGACCAGTCTGATATAACACAATTTCATAGAATATATATAATTAGGGGGTCCCCGCTCCATCTCACCAATCGGTTCTGGGGGTCCTTGCCCCGGAAAACGATGAAGACCCCTGCTCTACACGGTGTAGAGTGGGATCCCCCCATTTATCCAGGTTGGCACCAGCTGAATGGTTGTGCATATTGGACACGTTTAAATTACCAGTGGATAATGGGACAGATTTGCAGTTCTTAAGCAGTAGAACAAAGACAAGGTTCCAAGAAGTCCTGTCAGCCCCAGAGAGAGACGGGTTAACATGAGCCTAAGCTTCAAGGCGGCGTTTAAACCTTCACATTATACACACTTACACTGTATTATATTTTACATTTACACCACACTAAGTAATAATAATGAATTTTAATTTCTATGTCTCTTTTAAAGAAAGAAAACTCTAAACTCTTACAGGAAATTAATAACTCAGAGCTAAAATCGATTAACTTAATAAAGTAAGTTGGGCAAAAAGAAAAGTGAAATTAGACGTTGTCAAACCAAAGCAGAACAGAGGTTGTTCTGGGTTCTCTATCCTCCTGCTGCAGGGTTAACACTAGACACCTGGATGTTTATCTGGACGTTTCTCTCTAACTGTACTGGAAGACGCGGCGGTCCAGTCTCTCTCTGGGTGAAGCTGTTACCTGCAGACTGGAGCACTGCAGCTCTCTGACCCACGGCTTGGACCAGTCCAGGGTCCAAACTGCTGGTTTGCTGACTGGTACCGAACATACTGAGCATAATACTGCAGAGCCAGCTTCCTGTGTCCTCCAGGACCCGATTTAAACATTTATGTTTGTTCCCTTCCACCTCTGAAAGCATGGCAGGCTGTTTATTTCCAGGCCAAAGAGGCTCCGCTGTGACAGAAGCCAGACTCTGATCTGCCTGCCTTTAAAAGAAGAAATCTGAATAAACTCAGAAGTTTTTAAAATGCTTTATTTTTCTCCTGACCTCAGGCAAACAGAGCTCCTAACCTGTTCCTGTAGAATCATCTTTGTTGTTGTTTAGTTTTTGCATTTTATTTTGTATCTTTCCTGTTTTTCTGCTGTTGTTTCATTTGTTTACCTGCTGCCTTCAGCTCCCTTCCTGTTTTCCTCTCAGCTGCTCCACTCTCTGCTTTCAGGCTGACATCTTGGAAATCTGGTAAATTCATAGATTCAAGTTTTTTGAGAATTAAAACCAGGAAAAGTTTCAACTTTTATCATCATTTATTTTCATTCTGCAGGTTGGTTCCTGATCAGATGCTTTAGCGCCCCCGGTGGCAGTTACGCGCTCTCCATGTGGGTTCCTGTTTGTGTTTTATTTTGAAAGGCACTCCAGGAAGAACCGGTGCATGTGGTTCTAGTTCTGCCGCCCCTGGTTTCTTTTCTCCTATATGTTCTCCTGGTTCTGATTGGGGTCCGGGTTCTATAAGGGGTAGAAGAGCAAATTCATTATTTTCTATTTTCTTCTAACAGCTGTTGTTGTTCTAGAGGTTCTAATCTAAATCCTTAATCTAGAACCAGGTTTCTGATATAAATGCTTCAGGTTTTGGTTCTAAGGTCGTATTGACGTAACGGGTCTCTGCTCCCGTTCAGACCCGCGGTTCTGCTTCTGTTTCCTCTAATGTGTGTGCTGACTCACCCTGAGCGCGGCGGTTCTGGTCCAGGTTGGGCCCCTCCGGCGTGGCCAGCAGCCGAACCACAGGGGCAGACCCTCAGCTTGATGATGTCACTGATCAGATGGGCGCTGGGGAAGTCCATAGTGAGGACGCCCACACAGCCCGCCGTGGAGGTCTGCATATGTTCCCTCACAAACTGACTGAGCTGCGGGTTGACCAATCGGGCCAGCTCTTTCGGCTTCTCCAATGTCGTAGCGACGGTCTGCGTCACGAGGATGTAATGACCGCAGAGATCCTGATGGACCTCCTTTATTTTTCGGTCAACATCTCTCAGCTTGTTGGACTCAAAGAAATGAGATTGATGGTTTTTTGTTCCCTGCGGAAACTCTACATTCTGCAGGAAGACGATCTTCCCCCGCACCTCCTTCAGGAGCGGCACCGCTACCTTTGTCCAGATTCTTCTTTCAAACTTCTCAATCAGCTTTTTCACCAATTCCTTCCCTCTGTCTTTGTAAAGTCCGCGCAGCGTCACTTTCATCAGCACCGTCTCCCCGCTGTGTGCATCTAGGAATCCTAAAACCTTCTGGAAGACTGTGCGTAAACTCATGCTCTTTAAAGATATCCATACAGAATCTCGGATGGTGACATCACTGCTGGTCGGAAGCCAAAGGCCAACATGGATGTCTAAATAGCGAACCCCCACATTCAGCTGCTCTTCCAAACTCCAGACTTGAGCTGCAGCTAACGGTCCTCCACTGAGTCTCAAGCTCTCATGAGTTCCAGGAATGGCGATAGCCGAGATGCGAGTTTCATCGGGGATCTGTTTCATCCAGTCTGTTTTAGGTTGTGGTTCTGGTTCCTCTGCAGCTTCTCCTTCAGGTTCTGTTGGTTTTGCTGGTTCTGTTGGTTCTCCTGGTTCTGTTGGTTCTGCTGGTTCTTTTGGTTCTCCTGGTTCTGTTGGTTCTGCTGGGACTGTTGGTTCTGCTGGTTCTGTTGGTTCCATGGGTTCTGTTGGTTCCGCTGGTTCTGTTGGTTCTGCTGGGACTGTTGGTTCCGCAGGTTCTGTTGGTTCTGCTGGTTCTGTTGGTTCTCCTGGTTCTGTTGGTTCAGCAGGTTTTGTTGGTTCTCCTGGTTTTGTTGGTTCAGCTGGTTCTGTTGGTTCTGCTGGTTCTGTTGGTTCCGCAGGTTCTGTTGGTTCCGCAGGTTCTGTTGGTTCAGCAGGTTCTGTTGGTTCTCCTGGTTCTGTTGGTTCAGCTGGTTCTGTTGGTTCTGCTGGGACTGTTGGTTCTGCTGGTTCTGTTGGTTCCACGGGTTCTGTTGGTTCTGCTGGTTCTGTTGGTTCCGCAGGTTCTGTTGGTTCTGCTGGTTCTGTTGGTCCAGCAGGTTTTGTTGGTTCTCCTGGTTCTGTTGGTTCTGCTGGTTCTGTTGGTTCTCCTGGTTCTGTTGGTTCTGCTGGTTCTTTTGGTTCTCCTGGTTCTGTTGGTTCTGCTGGGACTGTTGGTTCTGCTGGTTCTGTTGGTTCCATGGGTTCTGTTGGTTCCGCTGGTTCTGTTGGTTCTGCTGGGACTGTTGGTTCTGCTGGTTCTGTTGGTTCCGCAGGTTCTGTTGGTTCTGCTGGTTCTGTTGGTTCAGCAGGTTTTGTTGGTTCTCCTGGTTTTGTTGGTTCAGCTGGTTCTGTTGGTTCTGCTGGTTCTGTTGGTTCCGCAGGTTCTGTTGGTTCCGCAGGTTCTGTTGGTTCAGCAGGTTCTGTTGGTTCTCCTGGTTCTGTTGGTTCAGCTGGTTCTGTTGGTTCTGCTGGGACTGTTGGTTCTGCTGGTTCTGTTGGTTCCACGGGTTCTGTTGGTTCTGCTGGTTCTGTTGGTTCCGCAGGTTCTGTTGGTTCTGCTGGTTCTGTTGGTCCAGCAGGTTTTGTTGGTTCTCCTGGTTCTGTTGGTTCAGCTGGTTCTGTTGGTTCTGCTGGGACTGTTGGTTCTGCTGGTTCTGTTGGTTCCACGGGTTCTGTTGGTTCTGCTGGTTCTGTTGGTTCCGCAGGTTCTGTTGGTTCTGCTGGTTCTATTGGTTCAGCAGGTTTTGTTGGTTCTCCTGGTTCTGTTGGTTCAGCTGGTTCTGTTGGTTCTGCTGGGACTGTTGGTTCTGCTGGTTCTGTTGGTGCCACGGGTTCTGTTGGTTCTGCTGGGACTGTTGGTTCTGCTGGTTCTGTTGGTTCAGCGGGTTCTGTTGGTTCCGCAGGATCTGTTGGTTCTGCTGGTTCTGTTGGTTCAGCAGGTTTTGTTGGTTCTCCTGGTTCTGTTGGTTCAGCGGGTTCTGTTGGTTCTGCTGGGACTGTTGGTTCTGCTGGTTCTGTTGGTTCCGCGGGTTCTGTTGGTTCAGCTGGTTTTGTTGGTTCTCCTGGTTCTGCTGGTTCTGTTGGTTCAGCGGGTTCTGTTGGTTCTGCTGGGTCTGTTGGTTCAGCAGGTTCTGCTGGTTCTGATGGTTCCGCGGGTTCTGCTGGTTCTCCTGGTTCTGTTGGTTCAGCTGGTTCTGCTGGTTCTGATGGTTCTGCGGGTTCTGCTGGTTCTGCTGGTTCTGTTGGTTCAGCGGGTTCTGTTGGTTCTGCTGGGTCTGTTGGTTCAGCTGGTTCTGCTGGTTCTGTTGGTTCCGTGGGTTCTGTTGGTTCTCCTGGTTCTGTTGGTTCAGCTGGTTCTGCTGGTTCTGATGGTTCCGCGGGTTCTGCTGGTTCTGTTGGTTCTCCTGGTTCTGTGGGTTCTGTTGGTTCTCCTGGTTCTGTTGGTTCCGTGGGTTCTGTTGGTTCTCCTGGTTCTGTTGTTTCTGTGGGTTCTGTTGGTTCCGCTGGTTCCGTGGGTTCTCCTGGTTCTGTGGGTTCTGTTGGTTCAGCGGGTTCTGTTGGTTCCGCGGGTTCTGTTGGTTCCGCAGGTTCTGTTGGTTCTCCTGGTTCTGTTGGTTCTCCTGGTTCTGTTGGTTCCGCGGGTTCTGTTGGTTCTGCAGGTTCTGTTGGTTCTCCTGGTTCTGTTGGTTCTGCAGGTTCTGTTGGTTCCGCAGGTTCTGTTGGTTCAGCAGGTTCTGTTGGTTCTGCGGGTTCTGTTGGTTCCGCAGGTTCTGCTGGTTCTGCTGGTTCCGTGGGTTCTGTTGGTTCTCCTGGTTCTGTTGGTTCTGTGGGTTCTGTTGGTTCCGCTGGTTCTGCTGGTTCCGTGGGTTCTCCTGGTTCTGTGGGTTCTGTTGGTTCAGCGGGTTCTGTTGGTTGTCCTGGTTCTGTTGGTTCCGCGGGTTCTGCGGGTTCTGTTGGTTCTGTTGGTTCTGCAGGTTCTGTTGGTTCTCCTGGTTCTGTTGGTTCTCCTGGTTCTGTTGGTTCCGCGGGTTCTGTTGGTTCTGCAGGTTCTGTTGGTTCTCCTGGTTCTGTTGGTTCTGCGGGTTCTGTTGGTTCTGCGGGTTCTGTTGGTTCTCCTGGTTCTGTTGGTTCCGCGGGTTCTGTTGGTTCAGCGGGTTCCGTTGGTTCTGCCGGTTCTGCTGGTTCTGTTGGTTCCGCGGGTTCTGTTGGTTCTCCTGGTTCGGTTGGTTCTCCTGGTTCTGCTGGTTCTGCAGGTTCTGTTGGTTCAGCAGGTTCTGTTGGTTCCGCAGGTTCTGTTGGTTCTCCTGGTTCTGTTGGTTCTGCAGGTTCTGTTGGTTCAGCAGGTTCTGTTGGTTCTCCTGGTTCTGTTGGTTCAGCGGGTTCTTTTGGTTCTCCTGGTTCTGTTGGTTCTGCGGGTTCTGTTGGCTCCACAGGTTCTGTTGGTTCTCCTGGTTCTGTTGGTTCTGCAGGTTCTGTTGGTTCAGCAGGTTCTGTTGGTTCCGCGGGTTCTGTTGGTTCCGCAGGTTCTGTTGGTTCTCCTGGTTCTGTTGGTTCCGCTGGTTCTGTTGGTTCAGCAGGTTCTGTTGGTTCTGCAGGTTCTGTTGGTTCTCCTGGTTCTGTTGGTTCTGCAGGTTCTGTTGGTTCAGCAGGTTCTGTTGGTTCTCCTGGTTCTGTTGGTTCTGCAGGTTCTGTTGGTTCCGCAGGTTCTGTTGGTTCCGCTGTTTCTATTGTTTCCGCGGGTTCTGTTGGTTCCGCGGGTTCTGTTGGTTCTCCGGGTTCTCCTGGTTCCGCTGTTTCTGTTGGTTCTCCGGGTTCTCCTGGTTCAGCAGGTTCTGTTGGTTCCGCAGGTTCTGTTGGTTCTCCTGGTTCTGTTGGTTCTGCTGGTTCTGCAGGTTCTGTTGGTTCTCCAGGTTCTGTTGGTTCCGCTGGTTCTATTGGTTCCGCGGGTTCTGTTGGTTCCGCAGGTTCTGTTGGTTCTCCGGGTTCTCCTGGTTCCGCTGGTTCTGTTGGTTCAGCGGGTTCTGTTGGTTCTCCTGGTTCTGTTGGTTCTGCAGGTTCTGTTGGTTCAGCAGGTTCTGTTGGTTCCGCGGGTTCTGTTGGTTCCGCAGGTTCTGTTGGTTCTCCTGGTTCTGTTGGTTCCGCTGGTTCTATTGGTTCCGCGGGTTCTGTTGGTTCCGCGGGTTCTGTTGGTTCCGCGGGTTCTGTTGGTTCCGCAGGTTCTGTTGGTTCTCCGGGTTCTCCTGGTTCCGCTGGTTCTGTTGGTTCCGCAGGTTCTGTTGGTTCTCCAGGTTCTGTTGGTTCCGCTGGTTCTATTGGTTCCGCTGGTTCTGTTGGTTCAGCGGGTTCTGTTGGTTCAGCAGGTTCTGTTGGTTCTGCAGGTTCTGTTGGTTCTCCAGGTTCTGTTGGTTCCGCTGGTTCTATTGGTTCCGTGGGTTCTGTTGGTTCCGCGGGTTCTGTTGGTTCTCCGGGTTCTCCTGGTTCTGCTGGTTCTGTTGGTTCTCCGGGTTCTCCTGGTTCAGCAGGTTCTGTTGGTTCCGCAGGTTCTGTTGGTTCTCCTGGTTCTGTTGGTTCTGCAGGTTCTGTTGGTTCAGCAGGTTCTGTTGGTTCTCCTGGTTCTGTTGGTTCTGCAGGTTCTGTTGGTTCAGCAGGTTCTGTTGGTTCTCCTGGTTCTGTTGGTTCTGCAGGTTCTGTTGGTTCAGCAGGTTCTGTTGGTTCCGCAGGTTCTGTTGGTTCTCCTGGTTCTGTTGGTTCTGCTGGTTCTGTTGGTTCTCCAGGTTCTGTTGGTTCCGCTGGTTCTATTGGTTCTCCGGGTTCTCCTGGTTCCGCTGGTTCTGTTGGTTCAGCGGGTTCTTTTGGTTCTCCTGGTTCTGTTGGTTCCGCGGGTTCTGTTGGCTCCACAGGTTCTGTTGGTTCTCCTGGTTCTGTTGGTTCTGCAGGTTCTGTTGGTTCAGCAGGTTCTGTTGGTTCCGCGGGTTCTGTTGGTTCCGCAGGTTCTGTTGGTTCTCCTGGTTCTGTTGGTTCCGCTGGTTCTATTGGTTCCGCGGGTTCTGTTGGTTCCGCGGGTTCTGTTGGTTCCGCAGGTTCTGTTGGTTCCGCTGTTTCTATTGTTTCCGCGGGTTCTGTTGGTTCCGCGGGTTCTGTTGGTTCTCCGGGTTCTCCTGGTTCCGCTGTTTCTGTTGGTTCTCCGGGTTCTCCTGGTTCAGCAGGTTCTGTTGGTTCCGCAGGTTCTGTTGGTTCTCCTGGTTCTGTTGGTTCTGCTGGTTCTGCAGGTTCTGTTGGTTCTCCAGGTTCTGTTGGTTCCGCTGGTTCTATTGGTTCCGCGGGTTCTGTTGGTTCCGCAGGTTCTGTTGGTTCTCCGGGTTCTCCTGGTTCCGCTGGTTCTGTTGGTTCAGCGGGTTCTGTTGGTTCTCCTGGTTCTGTTGGTTCTGCAGGTTCTGTTGGTTCAGCAGGTTCTGTTGGTTCCGCGGGTTCTGTTGGTTCCGCAGGTTCTGTTGGTTCTCCTGGTTCTGTTGGTTCCGCTGGTTCTATTGGTTCCGCGGGTTCTGTTGGTTCCGCGGGTTCTGTTGGTTCCGCGGGTTCTGTTGGTTCTCCGGGTTCTCCTGGTTCCGCTGGTTCTGTTGGTTCCGCAGGTTCTGTTGGTTCTCCAGGTTCTGTTGGTTCCGCTGGTTCTATTGGTTCCGCGGGTTCTGTTGGTTCCGCGGGTTCTGTTGGTTCCGCAGGTTCTGTTGGTTCTCCGGGTTCTCCTGGTTCCGTAGGTTCTGTTGGTTCCGCAGGTTCTGTTGGTTCTGCAGGTTCTGTTGGTTCAGCAGGTTCTATTGGTTCCGCGGGTTCTGTTGGTTCCGCGGGTTCTGTTGGTTCCGCAGGTTCTGTTGGTTCTCCGGGTTCTCCTGGTTCCGCTGGTTCTGTTGGTTCTCCAGGTTCTGTTGGTTCCGCTGGTTCTATTGGTTCCGCTGGTTCTGTTGGTTCAGCGGGTTCTGTTGGTTCAGCAGGTTCTGTTGGTTCTGCAGGTTCTGTTGGTTCTCCAGGTTCTGTTGGTTCCGCTGGTTCTATTGGTTCCGCGGGTTCTGTTGGTTCCGCGGGTTCTGTTGGTTCTCCGGGTTCTCCTGGTTCTGCTGGTTCTGTTGGTTCTCCGGGTTCTCCTGGTTCAGCAGGTTCTGTTGGTTCCGCAGGTTCTGTTGGTTCTCCTGGTTCTGTTGGTTCTGCTGGTTCTGTTGGTTCCGCTGGTTCTATTGGTTCCGCGGGTTCTGTTGGTTCCGCGGGTTCTGTTGGTTCCGCAGGTTCTGTTGGTTCTCCGGGTTCTCCTGGTTCCGCTGGTTCTGTTGGTTCAGCGGGTTCTGTTGGCTCCGCAGGTTCTGTTGGTTCTCCTGGTTCTGTTGGTTCAGCAGGTTCTGTTGGTTCCTTGGGTTCTGTTGGTTCCGCAGGTTCTGTTGGTTCTCCTGGTTCTGTTGGTTCTGCAGGTTCTGTTGGTTCAGCAGGTTCTGTTGGTTCCTTGGGTTCTGTTGGTTCCGCAGGTTCTGTTGGTTCCGCGGGTTCTGTTGGTTCCGCAGGTTCTGTTGGTTCTCCGGGTTCTCCTGGTTCCGCTGGTTCTGTTGGTTCAGCGGGTTCTGTTGGCTCCGCAGGTTCTGTTGGTTCTCCTGGTTCTGTTGGTTCTGCAGGTTCTGTTGGTTCTGCAGGTTCTGTTGGTTCCTTGGGTTCTGTTGGTTCCGCAGGTTCTGTTGGTTCTCCTGGTTCTGTTGGTTCTGCTGGTTCTGCAGGTTCTGTTGGTTCTCCAGGTTCTGTTGGTTCCGCTGGTTCTATTTGTTCCGCGGGTTCTGTTGGTTCCGCGGGTTCTGTTGGTTCCGCGGGTTCTCCTGGTTCCGCTGGTTCTGTTGGTTCTCCGGGTTCTCCTGGTTCCGCTGGTTCTGTTGGTTCCGCTGGTTTTGTTGGTTCTGTGGGTTCTGTTGGTTCTCCTGGTTCTGTTGGTTCCGCGGGTTCTGCGGGTTCTGTTGGTTCTGTCGGTTCTGCTGGTTCTGCGGGTTCTGTTGGTTCTCCTGGTTCTGTTGGTTCCGCAGGTTCTGTTGGTTCTGCTGGTTCTGTTGGTTCTCCTGGTTCCGATTGTGGTCCGGGTTCTATAAGGGGTAGAAGAGTAAATTCATTATTTTCTATTTTCTTCTAACAGCTGTTGTTGTTCTAGAGGTTCTAATCTAAATCCTTAATCTAGAACCAGGTTTCTGATATAAATGCTTCAGGTTTTGGTTCTAAGGTCGTATTGACGTAACGGGTCTCTGCTCCCGTTCAGACCCGCGGTTCTGCTTCTGTTTCCTCTAATGTGTGTGCTGACTCACCTGAGCGCGGCGGTTCTGGTCCAGGTTGGGCCCCTCCGGCGTGGCCAGCAGCCGAACCACAGGGGCAGACCCTCAGCTTGATGATGTCACTGATCAGATGGGCGCTGGGGAAGTCCATAGTGAGGACGCCCACACAGCCCGCCGTGGAGGTCTGCATATGTTCCCTCACAAACTGACTGAGCTGCGGGTTGACCAATCGGGCCAGCTCTTTCGGCTTCTCCAATGTCGTAGCGACGGTCTGCGTCACGAGGATGTAATGACCGCAGAGATCCTGATGGACCTCCTTTATTTTTCGGTCAACATCTCTCAGCTTGTTGGACTCAAAGAAATAGGATTTATGGTTTTTTGTTCCCTGCGGAAACTCTACATTCTGCAGGAAGACGATCTTCCCCCGCACCTCCTTCAGGAGCGGCACCGCTACCTTTGTCCAGATTCTTCTTTCAAACTTCTCAATCAGCTTTTTCACCAATTCCTTCCCTCTGTTCTTGTTAAATTTGTGCAGCGTCACTTTCATCAGCACCGTCTCCCCGCTGTGTGCATCTAGGAATCCTAAAACCTTCTGGAAGACTGTGCGTAAACTCATGCTATTAAAAGACATCCATGCAGAATCTCGGATGGTGACATCACTGCTGGTCGGAAGCCAAAGGCCAACATGGATGTCTAAATAGCGAACCCCCACATTCAGCTGCTCTTCCAAACTCCAGACTTGAGCTGCAGCTAACGGTCCTCCACTGAGTCTCAAGCTCTCATGAGTTCCAGGAATGGCGATAGCCGAGATGCGAGTTTCATCGGGGATCTGTTTCATCCAGTCCGTCTGAGTGTCGCTCAGACCCGACCTGTCGTTGAAGCCGCTCACCGCGCTCTCACAAGAGGTCAACCTGTTGGAGGGAATGTTTGAAATGTTTTAAATTCAGACAGAATCAGGAAGAGATTATTTGTAGACTTCACTTACATGGAGAGAATCCAGAGGTAGCGATGAATCTCCATGTTAGTTTCTGTTGTTAACGTCAAGACATCCCAGTTTTTCTTCCAGATGTCTTCACATTTTGTTCCCAGCCGTCACTAATGAGCCTGACTGTCTCACAAAGGTGATTGTCTGCTCTACACTGAGCTGCCCTGGAAGATAAACTCCCATTTGCATGTTTCTGCTCTAATCTATTCTTCTACACTATGAGGGCGGACAGACAGACGTCCTAAACGCTCCAACAGGTCAAATTGTCAGAGTTTGCATAGGAAAATGTGAATCAGCAGCGGCGTGAGGAGCCACTCGCCGTTCTTCTGGGACTCCTTCTCTACTACAGTCACACTCTGTTAGGTTAGGTAACTACAGTATTAGGTGTTTATTGCACATTATTTTACTTCAGAAGCAACTAAAAACTAGCGTTGCGGCAATGCCAATTTTTGGCCCTGATACCTGGCTGTGCAGTATCGGCCGATACCATCCGTTTGAAATTGTTCTGTGTGTATCTGAAGAACTGCATCCTGCCTGGATGTAGAATAATCACCATCATGGCTTCATGTCAAGCTGCTGCCTTCCTTTGTGAAGCAGGAAAAAGACTAAAACAAAGTGAATCCAGTAGAACTTTTATTGCCTACCTGGAATGGGCGACAATAGTGGAAGAAACTTTTGGCTCTGAAGATGGTATCCGTGCCCTAGTTGTTGGTACTCGCTGATACCGATACCACCATTGTAGTGCCGGATTGGAGCCCCAGTCAAATACTGGAATCGGTGCAATAGAACTAAATGGAGCTCAGAAGGCTGGAGTCCAACCAGGAACCAGCAGACTGAGTCTCAGCTCAGGTGATTTAGCCCAGAGGGTCCTAGGAGCAAATTCCACCTGAAATTACATATGTGAATTAAAGAAAGTCCAGCTACATTTGTTTGTATTTTAATGACAGAAATGCATAGAGGAATATTTTTCAGGTGGAACCACTATTTTAAATTTCACCATGTCTAATTTGTAGCCTTGCCAATTTTTTGCCAAATTAAACTCTGCAAAACACCATGAAAGCCCATTAGAAACTCTGGATGATCCATCAGACTTCATAGATCCACATCTTGACCAGAACTCAAGCAGATCTGGACTGAATAAGTTGAAGAATGTTTGTTCCATGAAAGTTTTAGTGGGCAGAGTGTGTTGGGAGCTGGAGAAGTACCACCTTTCTCCAGCAGAGTCCGCCGTGGATCCTCCTGAGTTGAGCCTCCTGCACAGCTGCAGCCCATTCCATCATCAGAGGATCCACAGTACTTAAGCTGTCTTCAGACCTTGCCTCAACGCCGCAGTGTTGATCTAGTTGGTTAGCACCTAAGCCTAGTATCTCTGTGAACCTTTGTTGACTTTTGAATCCAGACTGGATTCTAACCTTTGTCTCTGTCTTCCAGGAAATCAGTTTTTCTCCTGTGAAGCTATGGAAGAGCTTAACCTGCCGAGCCTGCCCTCTGAGCCAAACCTGAAGCCTCTCTCTGAACTTCCATGCAGCTCTGGACCAAGAGCTGGAAACTCAAAGCCAAGGTCTACTCATTCTTAAGAAGTAAGACGCTGAAGCAGCTTACGGACTCTGCTGATCAAATCCTCTCCAGATCCAACAGCCTCCCTCTCAAGGCTTTAATCAAGAACCCTCAAGGTACAAATCAGAAACTGTCAAGAATCAAACTCCTATGCGCAACGCTAACTGAACTGTTTCTCACGCAGACTCCGGTGAACCAGTTTCCCAGGCCTGAACCAGAACCAGTCATAATCTCTGTGCTAGTGTCAATAAACTCTGTTAAACCTTTTACTCCAGTTTCCGTCTCAGTGGTGTTCTGCATAATTGGGTCACACCAGTGAACCCATCATGACAGAGTGCTAGAGGGAAATGGGATTTTAGCACAGTGCCAAAAGTGCAAAAATCATTTTTTCTTCTCATAAAAGGGAATCTGGTCAGACAAATATGCTGATTTCCGTTATTGGAGACTTTCTGTGTGAAGCAAAGCCTTTGCTCCTAACATTTAGCCGTTGGTTCATTGAAATGTACCAATATCACCAAACTGAATAGAAAATAGGAATAACAGAGCAAGCTTATGTAACGCATGTCGGTTATGACCTCTGACCCCTCCTTGGAAAGGTCTAAGCCTCTAGTTTCTAATGATGGCAGCCATTAGGGGGCGGGGCTAAAAATGAATAGTTGCTGTTGCATTAAGAGCTGGTTATCCTCCCCGCAGCAGGCGGTCGCAGTGAGCTTGATGCAGACATTTTTTATTTATGCTCAATATTGAAGCGTGGTCTGCGCTACACGCTGTGGGTCTAGATACGGCCGAGGCGGTGAGGAAGTGGGGGCAAGTATGTCCGACAACGGAGGGACATGAGGGCCAAAAAGAGCGGAGATCCAGGTGAAAAAAGGGTCTTAGCGTTTTCACGCACCTCGCTCTTCTAGCTGGTCCAACTTCACGAGTTTCTTTCTGCAATTGCTGTGTGTATGACGTCATCAGTGCGCCGGCTACCATTCCTTCATCCTGTCCACTGAACTGCTGCTAGTTTTACTCACATGTCTGGAAGATGTCTAGTGCCGCTACCACAGATGATCTCGCTCTCCAAATGAACGATTCAGATTAGCTAGAATGAATAGAATGGGTAGAGCGTAGCCGCCTGCGGCCCGGGCTGCCTCTCACTACTCCACGCCTGAGGACGGCAGTGCTCTCGAAAGCATCTCTGACCTTGGATGATTATCTCCTTGCATGAAGGAAAATGTGTTTTGACAGGTTGGGCGGAGACAAACCTCTTCTGTTAGCCTCCTCCTGATTAGGCCTTGCAGACACCATCACACAGGAAGTAGCGTCAGGAAGCCTTTGACTGACAGCTCGTCATCCATAAGTGAAGACGACGGCTGGAGGCAGAACAGTGGAACACACAGCCAGGCAGACGAGCTCCGAGCCAGCTCCCATGTCAGAGGATGAAGAGAGCACATCCAGTTAGTCACAGTCAGAGAAACAGGACTACACTGGAAAACAGGCCAAGCTCCAACATCTAGAAACAAAGGTGTTGATGGCAGCAGCACAGCTGATATTTCTCTCCAGGATGGAGTCACAGCCAAACAGGAACAGACCAGATGAAGCTACTATGAGAAAAAGCAGAGAGAGCAGAACGTTAGAGATTGAACTAACAGATTCTGCAGAGTGGGAGAATAGAGATAGAATGAAGCAGAATGATGAAAAAGGGGTCCCTATGTCCTCCAGCAGTCTAAGCCTATAGCAGCAGAACTATAGAGATAGATCAGGATAACCTGAGCCACTCTAACTAGAAGCTTTATCAAAAAGGAAAGTTTTAAGCCTAGCCTTAAAAGTAGACAGGGTGTCTGCCTCACGGACTAAAACTGGTACTTGGTTCCACAGGAGAGGAGCCTGAGAACTAAAAGATCTGCCTCCCATTCTACTTTTAGAAGTTCTAGGAACCACTTGTAAACCTGCAGATTGAGAGCGAAGTGCTCTGTTAGGAACATAAGGAACAATCAGATCTCTGATATCAGATGGAGCTTGGCCATTTAAGGCTTTATATGTGAAAAAGAAGCATTTGCTTTATTTATTTAAACTGTGACAATGTGACCCACAGCACCCAGGATGTTAAAGTAAAACTGTTCTGATCATAACAGCAAACCTTGCCATGTGTTTAGCATAGTTGACTCCTGTCTTACAGCTAGCCTGTAGCTTCCCCTCTGGTTGTGCTTCAGCCTCCATGTTCTCTTTATCCTCCCAGTAAGCCTGAGGCTGACCTCTGCTGATCCTCTTCCTGACCACCTGTTGCATCTTAGAGAGAAGCTGGATCAGTTTAGACGCTAACATGAAGCCGTCTCAGGTGGAGCTTTGCAACAAGAATGAGCAGAAGCTGTTGCTCAGATGACAGGAGGAAGCGTCCACAGGGAGCGCCGACCTCTGCCCCCGTTTTAGCCTTTGGGAGGTAAACCGTCTCAGGCGGAGCAGGATGTCCATCAGGACTCTGCCTCTGGTCTTTATTAATCTGGGAGGGGAAATGCTTTACGTCCTGGACCAGCGCCTGCAGGCCAACAACACGTCTGAGGACAGGTCAGAGAAAGGTAGGCCTGCCTGACAGGTGTGGCTGGAGCTCCAGCTGATGAACGCCTACATGTCTACCTTTCAGCTCAGCTTGTTTAACAACAGGCTCCCTCTGTTCCATCTCTGCTCTGCAGGAGTTTGGTCAGAAGGAGACAGAAGGAGAGGTATGAGAGGATCGTTCTGTAGGACTGGTTAGTTCCCTCCTCCTAGAGTGACTCAGTTCTTTATTGACCAAATGTTTCTGCAGTAACACAAATATTTAGTTTTATGGCTTCCATGTTCTCAGACTGATTATTCCCAGAGTCAGTTCTTCTTCTTCCTTCCTTCTGGAAGCCTCTCTGAGCTTCTGGACCTAATCCCTACTGATGGAGACCCACTGTTATCTCTTGCTCTTTGATTGGATCAAGATGCTTCAGTAATGAAACATCACATCCACCTGCTGCTAAAATTTAGCAAGCTCTGCACTGGTGGTACCCGTCTCACAGTGTCCTGTCCAGCCAGTTGGACCTTCATTGATGTCCTCAGGCTTCTTCTCTACAGCTAAACTTCTGGTTTTAATTCCCTGATGATCTAGAAAACTCTTCCACCTGCTGCCATGTTCTCAGCAGCAGTTTTCTGGCCGTGTTCTTCGGGTGGAACCAGAACCAGAACCAGAACAAAGGCTTCTGTCCTTTTTAACAGCTTCTGCTGCTGATCTCCTGATGGACTGGTGTGAAGTTAGTTCATCATTCTGGGCTTTAAAACAGATTCGATTTAGTCGTAGAACCAGAACATTTGTGTCACTGCAGAACGTTTGTCTGTAGTTCAGCTTTGTTTTCATGAAATAAATAAACTTTTATTCATTTTTTTTAGCTTTATTTGACAGATGAGGCTTTAGAAGTTATTCCTTAGCAGCTCAGAGGATGAATAAAGGTCCATTTAGAGGATCCCGTCCATTTGAAGGACTTTGTCTTTTTGTCCCTTGCTGAATCTCAGTTCTGAACGACATCGTTGGGACCATGTTCAGTAAGTCCTTCATGGATGAACTCCTGAAACCTCAGCAGCTGTATTCACACCGGACGATGAAAACGGTGCTGACCCGGTTAGCGCACGCATCCATCATGAGGCTGAACCCGGCCAGCATGGACAGGGTAGGTGGTGGACACCCACAGCTTTCTCTCCACGTCTCAGCGCTCAGTTAGGGAGCGCAGCTCCTTCAACAAGAGAGACAACCAATCATCGGACAGTTCAGCTCCCAGAACCAGAAGGAATGAACCCGTTTGGGTTTTATTAGCGAAGGTCAGCAGCACTGCAAAAAATTACAAATCTAAATTAGTACTTTGTTTCTTAAAATAAGGGAATTTATTCTTGAATTGAGGCGTTAAGTGGGACACTTTCCCACGGAACAAGACAATTTACTTTTAAGATAAAAAAAGATTTATTGTCCTATTTCAAGGAAAACTGATCTAATTATCTTATTTTAACAGTAAATATACCTCATCCATTCGTACATCTTATTTACTTACCCAATTTAAGGGTATATATGCTTATTATTATGTTGCTGGAGTCTCTGAAAAACTCAGGTGGATTTTAAAGCAGCATCGGATCCCTGTGAACTTCAAACCGGGCAACACGCTGAGACAAAAACTGCTTCACCCCAAAGACGAGACACCCAGAAATACGACCGACTAGGTGGTTTACGGCGTTCAGGGAAGTATGCATTGGAGAGAAGTTTAAGGCTTTATATGTGAGAAGGAGGATTTTAAATTCTATTCTGGATTTAACAGGAAGCCAATGAAGAGAAGCCAGGATAGGAGAGATATGATCTCTCTTTTTCATTTTCATCAGAACTCTGGCTGCAGCATTTTGGATCAGCTGAAGGCTTTTAACTACAGTTTGTGGACTTCCTGATAGTAAAGAATTACAATAGTCCAGCCTTGAAGTAACAAATGCATGGACTAGTTTCTCAGCATCACCCCTGGACAGGAGATTGCTCATTTTAGCAATGTTCCTCAGATGAAAGAAGGAAATTCTAGAAACCTCTTTGATCTGGGATTTAAATGACAGGTCCTGATCAAAAACAACACCAAGATTTTTAACTTTATTATCTGAAATCAGTTTAATCCCATCCAAATGAAGTGACTGACTAATCAGCTTCTTTTTCAGAGACTCTGGTCCAAAGACTATAACTTCTGTTTTGTCTGCATTCAGAAGCAGAAAGTTAAGAGTCATCCAGGTTTTTATGTCTTCAGACATGCCTGTAATCTATGTAATGGGTTAGCTTCATCTGGATTATTGACAGATATAGCTGGGTATCATCAGCATAACAGTGGAAATTAATCCCATGCTGTCTAATAACTCTACCAATTGGGAGCATGTATAAAGTAAAGAGAATTGGTCCTAGCACTGATCTCTGTGGTACTCCACAGGTAACCTTTGAGCATGAGGAAGATCTATCATTAACGTGAACAAACTGAAATCGATCAGATAGATCAGATTTAAACCAGTCTAGAGCTGTTCCTTTAATTCCAACAAAATATTCAAGTCTTTCTAAAAGAATATTATGATCAACTGGATCAAATGTAGCACTAAGATCCAACAGGACGAGCACAGATACAAGTCCATTATCTGAGGCCATGAGAATATCATTAGTGACTTTCACCAGAGCTGTTTCAGTGCTATGATGAGCTTTAGAAGTTCTGAGGCTTGAAAGGAAAACCTGTCTGCAGGATTTTCTCTGTTTTCATTGGTTTCTGTCCTTAAACTGCTTTTCCATTTCTCCTCTTCATCCTGCAGCTTTATGAGCTGATGATCATGGCCTTCAAATATCAGCTCTTCCTTTGTCCTCGGCCCAGAGACCTTCTGCTCATCTCCTACAATCACATCGACTCCATCAGAGAGATGGTCAGAGACACTCCTGTGGTCCTGAACCAGGTGAACGAGACCCACAGGAAAATCATTGAGGTATAGCTGTGGATCTTTTCATGCTTCCTAAAGTCCAACCAACTCTGGTTTGCCATAAACGCCGCATTCATCTCCTCTTCCTGGAGGTTTACTCCGGCTTATCAGAAGGAGAACTCCAGCTCCTCAGACAAACTCTGCTCATATTTGTCCAAGAGATGCACGTACGGGTGAGTCCTCTGCTGGTCCAGTCCTGCTTTTGATCAACTCCACATAAGAAAAATCATACTTAGCCTAATAATTAATCTGCCTTTTCTTCTCAGGTTTCCCTTTTCCTGAAGAATCAGATCCAGAATCCCAGCGGCCGTTTTGTCCTGACCACCTCGGGTCCGGTGCCGTTTGGAGTCGATGTTCCAGGACTTATCAGGTAAAGGCGAACAGTATTTCGCAAGCTTCCGTTACATTTAGTGTTGCGTCGATGCCATTTTTTGGCCCCGATACCCGATACCTGGCTGTGCAGTATCGGCCGATTCCGATACCATAATAATGTAAAATAATGACCATCATGGCTTCATGTCAAGCTGCTGCCTACCTTTGTGAAGCAGGAAAAAGACTAAAACAAAGTGAATCCAGTAGAATGTTTTGTTGCCTACCTGGAATGGGTGACAATAGTTCAATAAACTTCTGGCTCTCAAAATGGTATCGGTGCCCTATTGGTTGGTACTCGCCGATACCGATACCACCATTTTAGGGCAGTATTGGGGCCCCGTCCGATACTGGTATCGGTATCAGTGCAACACTAGTTACAATGGAAGTATGAGCAGGACTAACATAAGCCAATCCGGGATTTTTTGGTAATAACTAGCATTGCACTGATACCGATGCCAGTATTGGGCGGTGCCCCAATACTGGCATTGGGCGAGTACCAACAACTAGGGCACTGATACCATCTTCAGAGCCAAAAGTTTCTTTAACTATTGTCACCCATTCCAGGTAGCCAATAAAAAGTTCTACTGGATTCACTTTGTTTTAGTCTGTTTCCTGCTTCACAAAGGAAGGCAGCAGCTGGACATGAAACCATGATGGTGATTATTTTACATCCAAGTAGGATGCAGAAATCTGCCGGAATTTTAAGTTAATTTAGGCGTTCGTGTTAACGCATACGCGTTCGTGTGTTTTGAAGGTGTGGTTTCGATGCATATGAAGGGAGAGGCCAATCATATATCAACGGTCATCTGTCAATCAAATGTTTTCGGTCATAGCATCTTGATTCATATGTCGCAGCTAATATACGCAACGGTTGAAATCAGAATCCTTTCCTTTCCCATTGAGTTGCGTCCCAGTGTTCACGGGGATGGACGTCTGTGTCTTCGGCAGGCGTAGAGCTAACAGAACTGGCAGCGTTGCGAGGCAAGGGCTCAAACATGTACGGCTGGAAGCCTTCTACACCAAACCAAGCTTCTGCCGCCCTGGCGTCCTCTTCCACAACATCTTCGTCCCCGCTTTCCTCCTCTAAATAAAAAATGGATGACGGAGGAGACTCATCCACGACCTCCGACACTAAACTCTCCTCCTCTTGCATGTTTCCGCTGTCCATAGCGTTCCTTGACAGCGTCGTTTCTAAGGCACCAATTTAGTGCTACTTGGTCCCAATGGAATTTCCCATTGGGAACCTGCTAGCACTAAGATGCTAACTGGTTAGCAAGATGCTTCCAACAAACCGGCCACAACCAAACTTGTTAGCGAACCTTCCGCCACAATAATCCCACCCCCTTGATAATCGACCAATCACATTCACTTTATTCACTCTTGTAAAGTCGGGCACCACTCGGGAGAATTCGGAAATGCGACGATTGGAACAGCCGCTTTCCTACGACTTAAAAGGAAAGATATACTGGAAAGACAAACTAGACAAAGTGTCCCCTGAAGGTCCTCCTGGGAGGGAATAGGAACAGGTCTGTGGCTTAGAGGCCTTCTGAGGAAGATTTAGTTGGTTTCCAATTGATCCTTCCTTCGTTCCTCCGATTTAAGAAGGGAATCCATGATCTGTTGTTTGTTTCCAGGAAGTTTGACCTCCGAGGCAGAGAGGTGAGTCAGAAGGAGTTTCCGCCTGGAGGGAGCTACAGCAGTCCGGTTGGACCGGGGTCGTTTGACCTGAACGGAGACAGAGTCCTCAGACTGGGCAGGAACCTGTACGGACCCAGAGTTGCTACCATAGTGCAGCTTTCAGCGTGCTCTGGGCCACCGGGCTGAGTTCTCTGTTTGCTGTCTGATTAAAGGTACAGGGCGCAGCATCCAGAGGAGACGCAGACATCAAAGACACCTGATGTCCAGGTAACAGCTCCTGATCCAAGCCTGAGTCCGGTTTCAATGGATCCAAAATGTTTTGGTTTAAACTGTTGGTTGTTTAGTGTTTTTAATCTCCTGTGTCTAGAAAAGGTTCTGCTTATCTGTGTGTGAACGCTTCTGATTCATGGATCCCAAACCCAGCAGCATGTCAGGCCCCCCATCATGAGGTCCAGTCCCTGCCTAACCTCTGTGTTCCCGTCTCGCTGCAGCCGGAGAGCACCCCCAACTCGCTGGCCAAAGAAGAGCTCAACCTGCTGGCCCGGCTCATGGGCAGCATGAAGGCCGAGAACCTTCCCTCAGAGGAGCCCTGCTTCCGGATCAACCTGTTCCCCGCGGACCAGGAGGAGGAGGCGTGAGTTCTGAACTCCTTAGCTCTATCCTCTAGATCCGTTCCTGTCTCATGGCTGTTCTGTCCTGTGGAACAACAGAGCTTCAGGCAGAGAGCAGGAGTCCATGGTTCCAGTCGTCACCATCCAGGCTGTGCAGGTAGGTCCTCTACACTCTGATATCTGATCAACTGGTTATGAAACCACTTTAGACCAGATTCAACCAGGGATTTATCGTTGATGAATAAAGTAAATTATAAATATGAAAAATAGATAAAAAGATTAAAATATTTACACAAATAAAAACAAAATCCCAGGGGTCAGAGTTTAGGGAGGAAATCGGTCCAGATCTAAATGTAAATGCTCCTAAATCATCTGAACTATGAAAGGTTTGTTCTGTTTCTCTCAATGATCATGAAGTCCAGGTGAACTCCTGCTGTTCTTCACTGAAGCTGCTGCTGTTTGAGCTTCTGTCTTCTGTCTGATCCAGGACGGACCCACTGCTTCGGTTCTGGCTCAGATCGTTGGACAGTTTACAGATGAAGAGGCGGAGCTGGAAAAGTCCAGCAGCAGTAAAGGAGACGACCTTCTGGCCATGATGGATGACCTCTGACCTCAGATGGCTTCATTGCACCCATCCCATCTGTGCAGCCTTATTTCCTCAGCAATACATCTAAAACATGGAAATTAAAAAAATTAAATCCACTATGAGTCGTTTATACTGGCTATTCAGACACATCAACAATTTCAAAATAATTTAAATGGGGGGGAAAAACAAGAAAAACAATAGCAAAAAAAAATCCCAGATTGTATTACTAGCTGTAGTTCTGCTTTCCACCAGTAGATGGAGACATGTTCAGCTGAAGCTTCATGAACTGCTATTAATCAGCTGCTGTTCGCTCAGACAGCAGGATGAGGAATTCTGGGATGTAGAAAATAAAGGATCAGGTGGGAATGATTCCTGGATCAGAGCAGAAGCGAACAGCCGAACTTTAAAGCTGCTTCCGCTCATTCCATCACATTTAAGGAGAAACATCATTTTAACGAGGCTGCGCTGGAGTTTTCTACCAGCAGGTGGCGGTAATTCACCTTCTGGGTGAGACAAGGAGGCGGACATGACGTCATGACGTTCTGCGTCTGACCGGTGCCGTGCCGGTAGGAGGAGAAGAAGAAGAGCGGTAGAAGGCGGCGCGTGGCGGGCTGAGTTTGACGGAGGAGAAACGCAGCAAAGAAAGGAGGGCGGTAAGGTTTGCTCTGATCCCATAAACTGCTGATGACTGTAGAAACATGGCGAATGAGACGGAATATATGACGTCACGGATAAAAAGGGACAGGAAGTGAGGGAAGAGCAGAAATTAGCAAAAGGACAAAAACAAACGAACGGGCGAGTTTAATGGAGAAGGAGGAATATAGAGGTGGAATTTAAGCCTGATAAAACTGATGAAAGCGATAGAGGAAGGAAGGAGGAAAATCAGAAGATAATTAAAATGAAAACCTTGATGGGAGAAAGATTCCAGGATCTTTAGCGAAGCTGAGGAGTAACTTCAGGAAATGATGCGAAAAAATAAATAAAAGGAGGGAAAATAACAGATGCCAGCAGGATTAAAAGTAAAAGAGATAAACTGAAAGAGAAAATGGCAGTGATGCAACAATTTAAAAACATTAGGCATGAAGTGGAGAGATGACGTCACTAAACCCCTCAGATGCTGAACATAGAACGTAAATGTAGAAGCTGAACCTAGAACCTGAATGTAGAACCTGAACATAGAACCTAAATGTAGAACCTGAACATAGAACCTAAATGTAGAACCTGAACATAGAACCTAAATGTAGAACCTGAACATAGAACCTAAATGTAGAACCTCAACATAGAACCTAAATGTAGAACCTGAACATAGAACCTAAATGTAGAACCTGAACCTAGAAGCGGTCGGTCCTCTGGATCCTTCTCTAACAGCTTCCTGTCCTGTGTCCTTCAGACGTTCCTGGCGTCCAGAGTCCATGGAGACGGAGGCGGGTGGCTCCGCCCCATCGGGCGCCGTGGCGTCCTCCCTTCGGGAGCGGACGATCGCAGAGAACAGCATGGTGATTCTGCTGCAGGGTCTGCAGGGGCAGGAGACCACCGTGGACCTGAGGAACGAGTGCGCGGCCCGGGGACGCGTGGTCAGCGTGGACGCCTTCATGAACATCCGTCTGGAGGACGTCCTGTACCGGGACCGGCGAGGACAGAGCACCCGGCTGCAGGATCTGTTCGTCACGGGCAGGAACGTGCGTTACGTGCACATCCCCGACCACGTGGACATTATGAAGACCATGCAGAACCAGCTGGCTCAGATCCACAGAGTCCGGAACTTTGCCGGCGGGAAGAAAGAGTTCACCAAGAAGAACTAATGACCCGTTTGATAGAACCGGATGTTTCAAACCCTGGTTCTTGTTTCCAGAACAATCGGACTGAAGGTTTGGACCACGATCTGGTTCCTGTTCTCATTAGAACCCAGACGGATTTTCACTGTGAATAAAAGGACTGAAGGGTCCAAACCAACGAGGTCCACTTTGTGGTTCTTCTGCTTTTCCTTCCTGTGACCCAAATGTTCCTGAAAGCTTCATTCAAATGATCTATTATCTGTTAAAGGAAAAGTTCAGTCAGCAAAGAATTAGTGGATCATTATTTATACCTAAAACTAAATGCTTCCGGTGATTTAATGAATTTAGTGTTAATCAGTGAAGAAAAATTAAAACAAATCATTTTCGCAATAATTTTTACGAAAATAACCAATAATTTCCATCATGATCACTGAGTCTGGGAGCGGCCATTTTTGCCCAAATATAGTAGCCCCTCCCTCCTGCCATCTTCCAGCAGTGACGTCACGGTGCGGTAAGCCTAGCGCCATTCTCCCCGCTGTACAAGCTAAATCAATGGGAACTACTAGACACATCTGCAATCAACAACAATTATTGAAGATTTCCAGAGGACTTCACCATTGAAATTCACCAGAGCTATAGTGAAACTGACAATGCCCACGTGCATGGCAGCTGGATGCTGGAATACATCGGGTAAAAGTGAAAAAAAGAGTTATTCCACCTTTCTGATTCCTGATCCTCCACGGACGGGTTGGTCGTTGGATCGCCAACTTGAAGAGGGAGGATTTGCCATCGAACTTCTGGCCAGAGAAAAAACCCGTAATATGTAGCCAACATTTGGAAGAAGAATGTTTTCAAGATGACTTGGATAATAGCGCGTTGTGACAAACACCAGATACAGCACTGGGACTTGATCAACAGCCGATACCGCACCGTGACAATGTCACTAACCAGTAGGTGGCAGTAGTGTTCTTTGACAAACATGGATGCCTCCAGTAAAGCACATTCACATGAAAATTACTCTGAATTAAAAACACTGATCATTTATTGAACAGGATGGAATCATTTCAGATTTAAAGAACTTTCAGTTAACTGATTTTTAAATTTTATCTCAGTTTAGTATGGGGGATAAAAGTCAGAATTGTGACTTTTGATTATTGTCAAAATTCAGTCAGAATTCTGAGAAAAAAATTTGACTTTTTTTTCTCAGAATTCTTTCCCATAATAAACTGAAATAAAATTTAAAAATCAGTTAACTGTTTGTTTGTTTTTCCCAGTGGCCCTAATCCTCTTCTGTACATTCCTCTCATAACGTGGGAAAAAATAAAAAAATCCTTTAAATTTTGAAAGTTTCATTATTTTTCTATATTATGTTTGAAACATTTATTTTATATTTTTAAATCCAAAATATTTAAAAATAAATGACTGTTAGTTTGATGGAAAATGAAACATCTTCAAACTAGGAAACCAAACTCCTGCGGTTTGGGAATAATTTTTTTTTAATATTTGTAAATTCTTATAACATTTAAACAGAAAATCTATTTAATAAAGATGATAAATGAGCGAAGTGCTCTGTTAGGAACATAAGGAACAATCAGATCTCTGATATCAGATGGAGCTTGGCCATTTAAGGCTTTATATGTGAGAAGGAGGATTTTAGATTCTATTCTGGATTTAACAGGAAGCCAATGAAGAGAAGCCAGGATAGGAGAGATATGATCTCTCTTTTTCATTTTCATCAGAACTCTGGCTGCAGCATTTTGGATCAGCTGAAGGCTTTTAACTACAGTTTGTGGACTTCCTGATAGTAAAGAATTACAATAGTCCAGCCTTGAAGTAACAAATGCATGGACTAGTTTCTCAGCATCACCCCTGGACAGGAGATTGCTCATTTTTGCAATGTTCCTCAGATGAAAGAAGGAAATTCTAGAAACCTCTTTGATCTGGGATTTAAATGACAGGTCCTGATCAAAAATAACACCAAGATTTTTTACTTTATTATCTGAAATCAGTTTAATCCCATCCAAATGAAGTGACTGGCTAATCAGCTTCTTTTTCAGAGACTCTGGTCCAAAGACTATAACTTCTGTTTTGTCTGCATTCAGAAGCAGAAAGTTAAGAGTCATCCAGGTTTTTATGTCTTCAGACATGCCTGTAATCTATGTAATGGGTTAGCTTCATCTGGATTATAGACAGATATAGCTGGGTATCATCAGCATAACAGTGGAAATTAATCCCATGCTGTCTAATCATTGAATCGATGAGTTCTGGGTTCCAGGCTGGTTCTGATGGACCACTAACTGGACTCCTCCATGAACGTTTCATCTTTTATTCCCTCTGAGGTGTTTGTTCAGTTTCTAAACTTTCAGTTGATCTCAACATTTTCTACCAGGATCTCTGGACAGCTGATCCATCTGGGTGTGGTTCTGTTCGCTGCGCGTGAGTCAGGAAAACACGCCGAGGGCAAAACCAAGCAGATGAGTTTCCAGGGTCCCTTCCTCAGGGATCGGAGCTGCTGAGGAAACCAGCAGAGAGGAAGATGTTGTTTAGTTTGGAGCGGCTCTGGAACACCAGTGCATGTGGGAATGTCAGGAATCCGTGCGTTATTCCAGCATGAGGAAGAGGACCGGCCCAACACAACAGCGGCTGTGTGTGGCTGAAAGCGGCTCGGGCTGCAGGAATGTCCCTCAGCAGTGAGATCTTTGTTTTCCTGCTAACTGGTTCAGCCTGAACGGCAGCAGACCACATAATGAGCAGTTGGAGCTGAAAACATCAGCAGCGCCACATCGACGCTCACAGCCCAGAATAGTTCCTGACACCAAACAAACAATTCCTCTGCTCTGATGCACGGCGGTTCTGCTGAGGAGAACCTGCGTCCTGGTTGCCATGTTGGAGGAGAACCCACTGAGATCATGAACCATGGCTTAGATCTCAGGAGATGATGAGAACCTCCTCCACCTGGTGCAGGTCAGCATCTGGATCAGGTGCAAACTAGGCTCCTCCCACCAGGCTCCGAACAAATCCCACGAGCCCGAATCCAGCAGCCGCCCAGTTATTTCCTGTCCCGCCCTCATTCTGGGTAGACTGGGAGCAGACTGGGAGCAGAGAGCAGACTGATGCTGTAGTGGATCCTTCATGAGGACAGCAGGAGGTCTGGGTTCGCTTCGGACTGACGGATCAGTTTCAGCAGAATCAAGGTGAGTGAGGAGAACGGATCGTCCGTCTGAAAGCCAGAAGGACTTTAGTTATGAAACTTTTCAGCAGGAAGAAAATTCAAAGCGCTGAACATGAGAATAGAAAGAAAAGTACATTGAATTTGCATAAAGGAGAAACAAATAAAGAGAATAAAAATAGGTTGGTTTTATTTAAAAAAAGATACAATTATCTTAAAATAAAATAAAAGTTGGAACTGAGCTATCTCTATAGTTCTGCTGCTATAGGCTTAGACTGCTGGAGGACATAGGGACCCCTTTTTCATCATTCTGCTTCATTCTATCTCTATTCTCCCACTCTGCAGAATCTGTTAGTTCAATCTCTAACGTTCTGCTCTCTCTGCTTTTTCTCATAGTAGCTTCATCTGGTCTGTTCCTGTTTGGCTGTGACTCCATCCTGGAGAGAAATATCAGCTGTGCTGCTGCCATCAACACCTTTGTTTCTAGATGTTGGAGCTTGGCCTGTTTTCCAGTGTAGTCCTGTTTCTCTGACTGTGACTAACTGGATGTGCTCTCTTCATCCTCTGACATGGGAGCTGGCTCGGAGCTCGTCTGCCTGGCTGTGTGTTTCCTGGACGGGGCCGCCTGTGGAGCTGGTTGACAGTTGCCTTTTGTATCTACAGGTGCTGGTCATAAAATTAGAATATCATGAAAAAGTAGATTGATTTCAGTAATTCCATTTAAAAAGTGAAACTTGTATATTATATTCATACATTACATACAAACTCATATATTTCAGATGTTTATTTTGTTTAATTTTGATGATTACAAATGAAAATCTCAAATTCATCATATCAGAAAATTAGAATATTGTGAAAAGGTTGAAAATTGATGGCCCCTGGTGCCACACTCTAATCAGCTAATTAACTCAAACCACCTGCAAAAGCCTTTAAATGGTCTTTCAGTCTAGTTCTATAGGCTACACAATCATGGGGAAGACTGCTGACTTGACAGTTGTCCAAAAGACGACCATCGACACCTTGCACAAGGAGGGCAAGACACAAAAGGTCTTCGCTAAAGAGGCTGGCTGTTCACAGAGCTCAGTGTCCAAGCACATTAATAGAGAGGCGAAGGGAAGGAAAAGATGTGGTCGAAAAAAGTGTACAAGCAAGAGAGATAACCGCACCCTGGAGAGGATTGTGAAACAAAACCCATTCAAAAATGTGGGGGAGATTCACAAAGAGTGGACTGCAGCTGGAGTGAGTGCTTCAAGAACCACCACACACAGACGTATGAAAGACATGGGTTTCTGCTGCG